GGATACATCAGTATTTTGTGGCTGTTCTATTATTGCGTTGAAGTTACAAATAGAAGGTCAGATATTTCATTTGTAAGAGTGTCTTTGTGTTGGGCAGAGGACTCGCAGAAGGGTCATGGGATTTGGCATGGGAAAACCAAAACAGCCGCCCAAGAAACCTGAGAAGGGTGAATATGGTTGTTGTGTAACTGTTTCTCATTATTTTATGTATAAAAAAAGATTTGAATCTAATTTTCTGTTATTGTTTGTTTACAGTGAACAGTTTAGTCCCAGGTATGTTTGTTATCATTATCAATATTCTCGTTGTATTATAATTGTCTCAAACTTTTGTATTTGTTATTTGTGTTATGTTCTTGCTTGACGCTGAAGCTGCTACAGGTTTGTCATTTCATAAAAAGAAAAAAAACATTGACTTTATATAGTGCTTATTCGGACACTCAAAGACACTTCACATGTCATTATTCTTTCACTCCAAACACGGTGGTGATAAACTACTACTGTAGCCACAGCTGCCCTGGGGCACACTGACAGAAGCGAGGCAACCAGTCTGTCCCATTGGCCTCTCAAACCACCACCAACCATTCACACACACACCAGACTCATTCTAATGTGGGTGAAGTGTCTTGCAGAAAGACACAACAACTATTTGGCACTCTACAGCCGCAGCCGCCCCACTGTGGCACCTGGTGTTCCCATAGGTCTCCCATCACCATACTAACCAGGCCCTTCCCTGCTTTGTTTCAGAGGTCTGACTAGATCTGGCTTTCACATTCAGGCGGCACCATTAACAAACAAGCTATACACTTCAAAAAATGATGAAAAATAAATAAATGTGCAATTATCTTGTTTTAAAAAGATACAGAAATGTCTCCCTTAGAATGAGACTAAATGACTTTGTCCCACTGGAGAATCTGGTTTTAACACAGAATGTACTCAATTCAAGCTATTATTACTTCAGATTGTATCTTTTTTTGCAGTGTACATGGTGAATAGAATGCCACGCACGACTGTTTTTTGTGATCTTTCTGTTGATTGGTTGAAAGAAACACGAGCTACAATTGGTTCATCCTAAAAGCACAATTGGTTAAAACGATATTGGTTGAGTTGACAATATATTGGTCAGAAATGTAGCAATTTCAAGATTCAAGAAGTTATTTGCCATTTGCAGTAAAACCATAGACTGGAAAATACTGGGTTTTTTTTTTAAATTATTTTTTATTTTGGACCAACCGGTAACTGACCTGCCTCCACTCACTCTGTAAGATTGATTATTCCTGATGACATGGAGCCATCTGCACAGAAAGATTAAGATGAAGAGATCCTTTATTTGTCCCACAGGAAGAAAAAAGGGGAGGTTTCAGTATGCCTCTCACTTCTGAAGCTAAGCAGGAAGAGTCCAGGCTAGTACTGTGATGGGAGAAACAACAGGGCCCTCAGTGAGATGGATGTAAAGTGCCAAACTGCTGTTGTGTCCTTAGGCAAGACACTTCACCCACATTAGAATGAGTCTGGTGTGTGTGTGTGTGTGTGTGTGTGTGTGTGTGTGTGTGTGTGTGTGTGCACTTGTTTTCAACTCCTGGTGGGTTCCATAACCTGAGATTCCACTCACGTCATGGGGACTGGTTTTACGTGGTGGGGCCCGAACACCGGACCCCACTGGTCCAAGCTTAATAATCAATGGGTAATGCTTTTCTAACGGTCCTTATGCAGTCTCTGTAAAAATATGGAAAGGACCCCTGGAGGTTTACTTTCCTGAAAAAAGTGTGTTATGTGTCGGAACCCTGGTGGTGGGTTGCGGGATATCAAGGAGGGGCACACTGGGGCAATTTCAGTCCAGCAGGCTGGAGCCAATCATGGAGCAGCACAACAGAGGAAATCAGGTGTCAGGCTAGAAAAAGGTGCAAGTGTGTGGTTCATTAGGCTGCAAGAAATCATGGAGGAGCACACTGAAGCGCACGCTTACAAACCACTGGTAAGTGCTGACTACAAGTCATGACTTCAAATTGTTATATAGAATGATTACAAATTATTTGTTGTTTGTGCAGCTTAGTCAAGAGTCCCTAATTGATGAAGTCGACTCAGATTCTGACGATTTAACTGTCAAGAAGAAACCTGTAAAAAAGTATGGAAAAAGAAAAATCAAAAACACTTTTCTTCAAGACTCGGAAAGTGACGAACCAAAGGCAAATAAGATTGTTATCATGCAGCTGCAAAAGAAGAAAAATGGGGGGCGAGTATACAGCAAGAGACACTTCTGCCTCTACTGTTCAATGTCCTGCCACAAAATGTCCCGTCATTTGACTAGAAAACATGGAAATGAAAGTGACGTAGCCAGAGCATTGGCTCTACCTGTGAAATCTAAAGCACGTAAACTTCAGTTTGATTTGATCAGGAATAGTGGAAACCGTGAGCACAATTTTGAGGTTTTAAAGGCCGGCATTGGAACTTTAGTCCCAGCTAAACAGCCAAATTCCCCAGTTAAATCCAGTGAGTTTTTGCACTGTATAGACTGTGGGGCATTGCTTAAGCGAAAGTCGCTGTGGAGGCATGTGGCCAGGTGCCGGCTTTCACAGAAAGATGCCCAGGCTAAACCAGGTAGAAGTAGGGTCCAGTCCCTCTGCTCCCTAGCCCAGCCTGTACCGGAGGGCATCAGCAAAAAGCTGTGGTCTTTAATTTCGGCAATGCATCAGGATGAGGTCACGGGTGTTGTCAAAGCAGAAAAGGGGATTCTGAGACTCGGAGAGCACCTGTACTTAAAACACGGGCATGATAAGACAAAGCATGATTACATTAGGCAGAAAATGAGAGAAGTCGGTAGGTTAATTAACGAAGCAAAAACCGCAGGGAAACTGAAAACAATTAAGGATTTCTTTATTCCTTCCAACTTTAACCATGTGATTGATGCAGTCAGGTCTGTGGCTGGATATGATGAGGAAACAAATCAATACAAGACTCCATCCTTGGCCCTCAAACTCGGCCATAGCCTCAGAAAGCTAGCAGATATTCTTGAATGTGACTCAAAAATGGAGCATTGTGTTGATGAACTATTTATTAAAAACCTCCAACGAAGCCGGCTGCTTTTTGAGAAGAGGTGGGACGTCTGTGTTTCTTCTGCTGCCCTACAGACCCTCCGGCAAGCCAAGTGGAACACTCCGGACCTGCTCCCTCTGACTGAGGACGTTAGAGCCATGCATGCACATATTGAGGTATGTCGACCTGAATATGTGCAAACCCTAATAAGTGAGCCAACGTCTAAGCATTGGTCTAAACTGGCAGTTTTGACTCTTTGTGAGGTCATCATTTTCAATCGAAGAAGGGAAGGTGAGGTTTCAAAGATGCCACTGACAGCCTTTACCTTAAGAAGTAAGACTGGGATCCATTCTGACATTGCTCTGGGACTGTCCCAACTTGAGAAAAAGCTGTGTCAGCATTTTCAACGCATTGAAATTAAAGGGAAAAGAAGTCGGAAAGTGCCGGTTCTTTTGACTCCTGAAATGATTGCTTCGATGGAGGTGCTGGTGGAGAACAGAAGGGCCTGTTCCATCTCTGACCATAACCCATACTTCTTTTCCCGCCCGGGCGCAGACACCCACATCAGGGGATCAGACTCCCTACGCCAGGTAGCCAAAGAATGTGGTGCGGTGCATCCAGAGATGCTATCCTCAACCAAACTTAGAAAGCACATAGCTACTATGTCTACAGTTCTCAATATGAAAGAGAATGAGATGGACATACTTGCCAACTTCCTCGGCCATGACATTCGCATCCACAGGCAATATTACAGACTACCAGAGGGGACACTGGAGCTGGCCAAAATCAGCAAAGTGTTGATGGCCATGGAGCAGGGAAGAGTGACGGAATTCGAAGGAAAGAGCCTCGACCAGATACAAATTGAGCCTGAAGGTAATTCTTGATATTATTAAAATATGTATGATTTTTTTCCCCTAAAGGCCACTTGTATTTTTATTTTCTGTGCGACAGGGAGAGCAGTAGAGATCCTCTCACAAACGGACGGGCTAAAAGAAACTTCAAGCGGAGAACCTTCAACCATTCATCCAGATGCACCCCATGGTAGTGGCAGTGCCCCTTCTGGTAAGTGTACCAGGTGGGGGATTACAGCCAGGCTGCTTGGTCCTCACCCTGGGAGTGTATATTGCTAATATATTTTTATTTCTCTCCCTAGAACGTGTAAGAAAGCCATGGTCTGCATCTGAGGTGAAGGCTGTGGAGAAGACCATGACACCTTTCATACAGACTGGAAAGGTCCCTGGGAAGTCTCACTGCCTGGCCTGCATTAATGCCTCACCAGATGACCTTAGACATCGGACATGGAGTGGCATTAAATTCTATGTCAAAAATAGAATCACTGCAATTCGAAAACAAAATCTAAAATAAAATTCCTTTAAAATAGTTGTTTGGTTTCTATTGACTGTTTTGTATTACTTAAAGTCTTGGTAAAAAAAGATTATGTCTATGGGTCCCATTCTGAACGGCCCTGTCAAAGGGACCCACCAGGTAACAAAAACGTGTATGTGTGTGTGTGTGTGTGTGTGTGAACGGTTGGTGTTGCTCAGCCAGATTGGGTCAAAGCGGTTGAAAACACAATTACTACATAACATACTAAATACATAACTTTTTTCAAATAACACACAGCAGCGTGGGTATTTTCAGCCTAGCTCAGTCACATACCTTGTTTTTTGTTTTGTTTTAGAGTGTAGTTTGATCTCTTAGCCTATAAATATATTTGTTATGTCCTTTAACAAGCTACTTTAGTGTCTAGCATTAGAACTGATCATTTATATATCTATTAATTAACATTTATGGACATTGGTCTCTGCGCCTTATGTGTTTGTTATTACTGCATTTCCTGTGCTTGAACGGTTTGATTCTCTGATCTGCGTTGGCGAATCGACAGCTTTGTACATTTGTATTTCTGCGCAGCCATCAGAGCAGCGTTGCTAATCCAGCGCTGGTATCGTCAGTATGTTGCACGTCTGGAGATGCGGCGCAGATGCACATGGAACATATTTCAGTCCATTGAGTACGCGGGAGAGCAAGACCAGATCAAGGTACGACAACTTACTGGGACTCTGAGGAGCACAGGGACTGGCCTCATGCTGGGACTCTGAGGAGCACAGGGACTGGCCTCATGCTGGGACTCTGAGGAGCACAGGGACTGGCCTCATGCTGGGACTCTAAGGAGCACAGGGACCGGCCTCCTGCTGGGACTCTAAGGAGCACAGGGACCGGCCTCCTGCTGGGACTCTAAGGAGCACAGGGATCGGCCTCCTGCTGGGACTCTAAGGAGCACAGGGATCGGCCTCCTGCTGGGACTCTAAGGAGCACAGGGACCGGCCTCCTGCTGGGACTCTAAGGAGCACAGGGACCGGCCTCCTGCTGAGACTCTAAGGAGCACAGGGACCGGCCTCCTGCTGGGACTCTAAGGAGCACAGGGACCGGCCTCCTGCTGGGACTCTAAGGAGCACAGGGACCGGCCTCCTGCTGGTACTCTGAGCAGCACAGGGACCGGCCTCCTGCTGGTACTCTGAACAGCACAGGGACCGGCCTCCTGCTGGGACTCTAAGGAGCACAGGGACCGGCCTCCTGCTGGGACTCTAAGGAGCACAGGGACCGGCCTCCTGCTGGGACTCTAAGGAGCACAGGGAGCGGCCTCCTGCTGGGACTCTAAGGAGCACAGGGACCGGCCTCCTGCTGGTACTCTGAGCAGCACAGGGACCGGCCTCCTGCTGGGACTCTAAGGAGCACAGGGACCGGCCTCCTGCTGGGACTCTAAGGAGCACAGGGACCGGCCTCCTGCTGGTACTCTGAGCAGCACAGGGACCGGCCTCCTGCTGGGACTCTGAGGAGCACAGGGACCGGCCTCCTACTGGTCCCAGAGTCAGGACTAAACATGAGGAGGCAGCATTTCAGATTCATGCAGCTATAATCTAGGACAGTTTTCTAGAAAATGTGAGACAGGCTTTTACTCTGACAATGCTCAAATCCAGGTTAAAAACAGTTTGTTTAGTTGTGCGTACGACTGGAGGATTGTATCTTTACTATTTTGTGCTGTGATTATTTATGATTTGAATGCCTTGAATGCTTCTTCTCTTGTTTCTTTAATCACCTCGAGTTGCCTTGTGTATGAACTAGGGCTGCATGATATTGGATATTAGTGCGATACTCGATATAAGTGTTCAGTATTGCAATAACAATAATGGGCGGCACGGTGGCTGAGTGGATAGCACTCTCGCCTCTCAGCAAGAAGGTCCTGGGTTCGAATCCCGGTCGGACCAGGGCCTTTCTGAGTGGAGTTTGCATGTTCTCCCCATGTCTACTCCGGTTTCCCCTACCACTAAAAATATGTCCAATAGTTCTGGCATGCGCCTCCTGTACTGGCGACCCCGCTCCCATCTCTGTGTGGAGTGAGAGACAAATGCCCAAAAAAAATTAACAATTGTAAACCGCTTTGAGACTCAGATCTGCAGTGAAAAGGCGGTATATAAATAAAGATTACTACTACTACTACTAATGTTGCGATATTTTTGTCTTTCATCTAAAATTGCAATCTGCATTGAAACGCAAGAGACAAAAAACTAAAAATAATACAACATTAATGGCATTTTTATATATACTTTTTTGTTTGTTTGTTTGTTGTTCTTGTTGAATGTTGATGTGTCTGTTTTGTTGTCTTTAATACAGGAAAAAAAAAATGTTTATTGTGGATTTTTTTGATATGGATATCGCACGCACCAATATCGCAATAACGATAATTTTTCAATATATCGTGCAACCCTAGTATGAACTGCAAAAAATGATAGAATATTTGGTAATAATCACTTCAATCGAGTGGTTTTTATCTTAATCTGTCTTAAAACAAGAACGGGACAAAGCCATTTAGTCTTATTTCAAGAAATGTTGCTTTCTTGTCCATCCATCCATCCATTTTCTTCCCCTTAATCCATTTCTGGGTCGGGGGGGTGGCAGTCAGAGCTGCACCCAGTCACAGAGCACCAGCCCCTCACTGATCCTCCTGCAGGTGCTGAGTCCACAGGAGCTGAGATCTTTCAGTGGGGGCTTCAGGTAAAGTGGGGTTAAGTGTCTTGCCCAAGGACACAACGACAGCAGTCATCAGTGGGAGTCGTGAAGTAGGTCTTGAGGTGGGCTCGAACCCACGACCAATGCTCTACCAACTGGGCTACTGTTGCTTTCTTGTATCTTTTTAAAACAAGATCATTTTGCTTTGTTCCATTGGCAAATCTTGCACTTTAAATGGGCTCAACTTAAGGTACATTTTGCCAACTTTCACCGATTTTGGACTTATTTTTCATCATTTTTTGCAGTGTGAAATGCGCTAAAAAAACAAACTTTCCTTGTCTTGTCGTACTCCTGCAATCTTTTTAAAAATCTTCTTCTTTCTGTTTCTCAGCTTTACAAGTTTTTCAGTTACTTAATGGATCATTTCACACCTGCCAGCAGTGAAAGTGAGGCTGAGGACAGATCAACCCTTTCCTATCTGCCAGTCAGAGCTCAAACTAAATTATCTTTTTTTTTTCTCAAAGGAAATCTGATATCTCACATTTTCCATGAAAATGAGACGTGCCATGATGTGGAATGGGAGCAGTATTTTCTCTACAAAAGCATCGACATACCTGAGGGCTACTCTGGTCCACATCTGACTTTCCCTCTGACGTTCTGTGGGGTGTCCAGGTTAGTGGAGGCCTTTAAGCACAAACAAGTAAGTGTTCCCAACGTCCAACTTGATGAGGCTTGAAAACAAGTCTGAAAATACTGTTTTAATCCCGATATTTATTATAGTCTGCTTTTCTCCAGTAGCTGCTCCACGCACGCTACGTTCTGCAGCTTCTCGGAGAAACTTGGAAACTTTTGAGATTTCTCCCAAATATTGCTTATGTGTCGACGGTCCACGCCAGAGAGATCACTATATGTGGTAATAACACGCATGTATTTTATCAATTCAATTCATTTTTGTACAGCCCTACATTTTATTTACAAGCCGTCGATTCGCCAACACAAACCAGAGACTCAAACAGTTCAAAAACAGGAAAAGCAATGATAAAAAAAACACACTGGTCCATAAAGGGGCAGAGACCAAAGCCCATAAATGTCGCTGAATGTCCCATCATCACACCATGAAAATGACAATGGGACAGCAGGTGAATAGCAATGAACAGATTACAGCTGAAGTCATAATGAAGACAGATGATAAAGAAAAGAGAAGAAGATAGTGCTCAAGATACCAAACTTCTACCAAAATGTCTCATATGAAGCTTGACCATTTCTAAGTATGAGTCTTACCTGAGTCTAACTACGGTACATGCACAATTAGAAAGGACTGTTTTAAGCCTGCTCAGAAAAATTTGATGAAAAATAAGTAAAGTTTTGCTCAAATGTGTCTTAATTTGAGCACATTCTGACTGCCTTAAAACAAGGTTTGCCAACGGGGAAAAAGCAAAATGATCTTGTTTTAAAAAGATACAAGAAGCAATAGTTCTTAAACTTTGTCCCATTGGAGAATTTTGTTGAACAGTCAGAATATGCTCAGATTAGAAGAAGATAAAAACCACTTGATTCAAGCAATTATTACCTCCATATTTGATCATTTTTTGCAGTGTGGCCTTGAACGTAGAGACAAAGCCAGAGTTACTGAATGTAAATCTGTGTAGAGCTGCAACTAACGATTATTTTGTAATCGATTAATCTATCGATTATTTTTACGATTAATCGAGTAATCACTTGGCTGTGAATTGTGTAGAGAAAATGTATTTTTTCATCACAAAAAGCTAAAGTGGCAACACTCGAGGACGTATTGATGGCGTAAACTTAAAGTAAATGTTTGTAACAGGCTCTTTGTGCTAATTCTGCTCTGATTGGATGAGACAGACAGATATTCATGAAATTATAAAAACAAAGTCGGTTTTAATCAAAAATACTACTACATTACTCTGTTTGAGTCCGTGTGAACCAGAAAAAGATTAATCGATTACTAAAATAGTTGTCGACTATTTCAATAATCGATTAGTCGTCGATTAATCGATTAGTTGTTTCAGCCCTAAATCTGTGTATACATTTGTAATCCTAAAATGATCAAAGAACTTTATCTGACTCAGGAGATCTGCACGGGCACCTGGAAGACCTGCTTTTGATCTTTTACAAGGTGAAGGCAATAAATCACAGCCTTTGAACTGAGATGAAGTGATTTTTGTCCTAAAACTGTGGAATGAATGCAGAACGGGCTGCCGTCTTCAGAGAGACCATATGTTTTCAATGGAGACTTTGTGGACCGTGGCAAAAACTCTCTGGAGATTCTGCTCATTCTGTTTGGGTTTCTGCTGGTTTACCCGAACGACGTCCACTTGAACCGGGGAAACCATGAGGACCATATGGTGAACCTCAGGTAATCAGAGTCACAATCATGATCAGAGATAGAATCAGAATCAGAGATAGAATCAGGATCACAACCGGACTCAGGCCCGGACTCGGACTCAGATTCACGATTGGACTTGGACCCAGGATCGGAATTGGACTCAGGATTGGAATCAGACTCTGACTTGGAATCGGAATCAGACAGGAAATCGGACTGGAAATTGGACAGGAAATTGGACAGGAAATTGGACTCGGAATCAGACTTGAAATCAAACTCAAAATCAGTCTCGAAATCGGTCTCTATATCGAACTTGGACTCAGGATTGGACACAGACTTGGAATCAGACTCGGAATCTGACTCTGAATTGTACTCATAATTGGACTTGAAATCGGACTCCAAAACGGACTCGGACTCAGGATTGGACGTGGACTCTGACTCAAAATCGGACTCGAAATCTGACTCTGAATCTGACTCAAAATCTGACTCAGGATCGGCCTTGGACACAAGATAAATTAATAAAAACAACTCTTTACTAAAATACAATAAAACCTATAACCCTAGCATCATAGAGAAGCAGGTAAAACATCTCTAACTTCAGCCTATTAAGGAAGCAAGAATAAAACAATATTTCTAGTTGTTCTAGTTGTATAAATACATCCATACATTCAGTGGGTCAGGGGTCAGTGAGGGGTTATGAAGTCATGAGTAACACTTATAAAACTAGCGGCAGTTACAAGTGTTTTGAGCAGTAATGTGATTTCCTTGTGTCTCTTTTTTTTTGAATAACAGATATGGTTTTAATAAAGAAGTCCTGGGAAAGTACAGGGTATGTATGTCTTTCACTACAGATAAGACAACTGCCTTTTCTTTCGTTGCGCCCACAATAGCCTTCAGAATGTATCGCTTGTCACAGATTTGATACTTTCCCTCAGGAATTAGCAGTATACGGACACACTGTAGCATTGTAGGAGATGCCAGGACACAGTTTCCCCATTTTTGTACTGATATAAATTAGTCTGTTGAAAGATTATTTGTGAAGTGGGAGCGTTTCCACATCTGTTATTATTATATGTTGTGTGAAAAATGTGGAGAGGTTTTTTTATTTTTTCTTCCCCTGTTTTCTCTAAACCGCAGGTGCATGGCCAGAGGATACTGAGGCTGGTGCAGAAGATTTTCAGCTGGTTGCCTCTGGCCACAGTGATCAATCACAAAGTTCTGGTGGTGCACGGGGGCATCTCTGACACCACCGACCTCGACACGATATACAAAGTGGACAGGCACAAGGTACGAAGTATAAATGTATACACTGCAAAAAGTGATGAAAAACAACTCAAAAATGGCTCAAATTTGGCAAAACATATCATAATTATAGCATTTTGACTGCCTTAATACAAGCTTTGCCAATGGGACAAAGCAAAATGTCCTTGTTTTAGAAAGATACAAGAAATGTCTCCCTTGGAATGATAAAATTAAGCAACAGTTCTTGAAATAAGAATAAATGGCTTTGTAGTTGACATTTCCCCACTGAGGGACAAACAAAGGATCTCTAAATCATGCTAATGTTTTTTATTGCTTCAGTATGTGTCGGTCCTGAAGCCTCCCAACAAGAAACCAAACGGGGCTAAAGACGGAGGCCGGAGAAGAGTGCGTTCCCTTACTTACAGCGGCCCCAAAATGGGTCAAAGACAGGACATTCCACGGCGCTCGCTGGATAACCTGCCCACCAACGCATGTAACAACCGTTCAGTGGCTGCAGAAGTGAAGAGGAGTCAGAGAGAGAGATACCGCACCTATGGCTATCCAGACCCTGAAGTGACAGAGACGGAGGACAAGCAGTTGAAACAAGTGAGAGACTAAAGGCCTTTGATAATGTTATGTGAGATTACAGTACTGGCTGGAGAATTAATATGAGGGCACCTGTATGTGTGTATGTCCCAGCTACATTTGAAAAGAAAGTACATTTTTAGTCCATATATAGACAGCACTGGAATAAAAGCCGCAGATTTTATGTTGTTATGTAAAAGCTGATAGATAGATAGATATAGACAGGTATCCATAGACATAGATAGACATAGATAGAGATCAACAGAGAGATAGATAGAGATCAACAGAGAGATAGATAGACATATAGACATAGATATATCTACATGAGCCACATCTCTATATACACTGTAGGCCGCAAATAACTCGAACAAAGTAGCGGCTTACAGTCCAGCAAGTCCTGTACTATGAACTGATTGTGACTTTCCTTGAATTGTAGATCGTGGATATACTGTGGAGTGACCCAATGTCTCAGAATGGCTGTACCCCCAACGAAGTACGAGGAGGCGGCTGCTACTGGGGGCCTGACGTCACAGAGGAGGTGCTAGCAAGACATAAACTGCATCTCCTGATTCGCTCTCACGAATGCAAACAGGAAGGATACGAGTTCTGCCATAATCACAAAGTAAATGACTGTATATACTTGACCACAGGGGTCTCCAACCTGCGCCTCGGGAGCTACCAGTAGTTCTCCACCCTCTTCAATGTAGCTCCCCAAAGGATGTCTATGAGTAATAATAAAAAAGCTGATTATATGGGTATAACATAATGCAACAAAATATGCCAACAGTTAGAAATTGCCCAAATTTGGCTATATTGATTAGAGAACATTTTTGCTGGTCCCTTTTTAATAACTACATTTTTTCTCTTCCTGAATTTGACATTTTTTCTGATTCTTTATGTAGTTTATTTCTATGTTGGTATTTTTTATAAAAACCATTTCTCATTTTGAAATGGAGTAGATTTCCCTTTGACTCAGACTACACCGAGCGCTAGTAACCATAGCAACGTGTAGCATCAGTTGATTTGTAGTTTGAAGCCAGAACTGACGGTTAAAAGCATTTTATTGTGTCCAATCCTTGAGTCATATAACCAACATAAGAGCTAGAACCAAAATATAAAATTACTAATGTACCTTAAGATTTTTTCTAATTACTAAGCTAAAATTGCTAAACATTGCTAACCGTTATCTGATACTAGACTGTCACATATTTCTCTTTACAATTTTTACACATTTGACATCAATACAAACCTTGTTCCCTTAATAAACTGAAGATAAACTTTGTTGTAGTTATTCTTAAATCGAGTTTACGCTTTAGACCGAAGCTGCTTTTTGTAACGTATTTTCAGCCTGATTTAGCGCTACCCCCTTACTTCCTGTCTTGACCGGAAGTTGTCAAAATATATTTTTATGATTCTATTATTATAACAAAATAATCAACCTTTACAATGTTAACTTTCTACCAGTTAGCATTTCAGCAAACTATATTTCAAGTCATATTCATCAGTTATAGCACTTACAGCAAAAGTGGGTAAACTTAAATGTCTTATAATAAGGTGCTGTGTCCTGAAAGTTTTTGCACTACCTTCCTAAGTGTTTGAACTTCAGTTAATTTGCAGACCATAAAGTTGAGCAGTCATATTTTGCTAAATTTTTGTAATGCCTAGTATTGTATGAATAATATGAGGGGCATAAATCACAATATATTTCAGAATTGAATCACAATACTTGCTGTATCACACTATGTTATTATTGAATTGTGGCCCAAATATCACATTATTATTGAAGTATTGCCAGTATTTCCCCTATAAAAGTATCTCTGCAGGGGATAAGGTTGGAGACCCCTGGTTTACCATCATTCTGTGCTTTAACCAAAAATACACTTTTGCACATTTCCAGGTGTTGACTATATTCTCAGCCTCGAATTACTACGACATCGGCAGCAACAGAGGCGCATACATCCGGATGGGCCCTGATCTTGTCCCTCACTTTAACCAGTACCAGGCCAGCCGCACCTGCAGAGAGCTCACACTGAGACAGAGGTACAGCTCAACCATCAGCACAAAAATATAAAACATAATAAAAACATGCGTCTGTTTATTCTTCAGCGTCGGACAAACAGAAAAGTCCGCTCTCAAAGCACTGCGGGAACAGCTCTTTGCTCACAGGTCAAGTCTCATCAGTGCCTTCCAGGAGTTTGACATCAACAATACAGGCATTGCTTTGTTATTATTATTATTATTGGCTCTTTTTCTCCCTTGATTCACTGAACTAATGTCAGAATGTGCAATATGGAACCACATGTGTCCACTGTCACTGTGTCCCAGACCCTCATGCTGCCAACATGTATAGAGGCACTGTAACTATATATTTTTAGCACTAGAATATACAGTATTTTAGACTTCAGAGATTAGATATTTTATACTAGCTTCTTTATTGTGCTAAAGTTAGATATTTTATTTTGTTTTAGTATAGAGTTATTGTTCACATATCTTTTGCTCAATTTCTTTTTCTTACTGTTCAGTCACTGGTGATGCAACACTGAAATTACCCCAAGGATTTTCTAATCTTATAAAACTCTAAATCACTTTTCAAAACCCACCTGTTTCTCCTTGGCTTTTCTTATTTTTTCTAAAGTGTACTTGAGTATATAAACATGTGCTGTATAAGTTTGATGTATTATTATGATTATGATAGAAGAGAGATGATCTATTCCCCTTTCCCACCTCCATGTTTGTCTTGCTCTCTCAGGGTTGATCTCCCTCAGTCAGTGGGCTGGAGCCACAGAGCGGGTCCTGAAGCTGGGGCTGCCCTGGAGGGTGCTGCGGCCTCAGCTCATCACCAGCACATGGGACACCATGGTGGACTACCAGAAGTGGATACGAGAGTTCTCCATCACAGAGACCAGACTCGACGTAAGAATAAGTTACTATTTACTAATACGTGCTTCTCCAAAGTATTAATACAGTTTGAAGTTTTGCACGTTTTGTCAAGTTTACAAAAGAATTATTTGGATTTTTGACAACTATTATTATAATTAATTCAGACTCAAATTAAATTGGTCCATATTTGAGTTGTATTTTACTTGTGTATGAACTTTCAGTAACAAAATTCAAATTACAATCTGTGTGTTTATGGGTGTAAACCTGACAAAACATGCAGAATTTCAAGCTGTATGAATACTTTTGCACGGCACTGTACGTCGTCCGACCAGAGTCTGCATTAGATTTCAGATACCAGCATTCTGGAGATGATGTACAAACACCACTCGAACCTGGAGACCATTTTTCGGATCATTGACACCGACCATTCTGGTGAGCGCCATGACCTACTTCCTGTATTTTTATCAAATGCCTGGAACAGTGTCTTCCAACCTTTTAGAGCCATGGCACACCTATTTACTTTAATACAATCCCACGACACATTACCAGCTGAATATGAAAATCTACAGCCATTATTGACAATACAAAGTCATTCTCATAATAGTGTATTATATAGAAAACCAATCCATTACAAACAAATCTTTCTAATCTTTTCACATTATCCCCACTGCTGTCAGACTGTACAACAAGTCACTTTAAGTCACTTGCACAAGGACAAAATCAAAAAACCCTGCACTACTATTGCCACTGTTTCTTAATTGCCACTTTTATCGTACATAACATATCCTGCATTTAACATGTTTGCACAATTCTTTTTTCTTCTTGCGTGTTCCTATCCATGCCAGATGTGACATTTACATTTCTCCTGTGTGAGATCAATAAAGACAATCTTATCTTATCATTTTGACTAATGAGGTGATATCGGATCATTTCCAAAGGCTCACACCGGTTGAAAAACACTGGCCTAGAACACGATTTGTTTTATGTCATTGGGAAACCAGCTTCTACAAAGACTCACTTCTCTGTCCATTCCAGGTCTGATATCGTACGAAGAGTTCCGTCAAACTTGGAAGCTGCTCAGTTCTCACTTGCAGTTGGAAATCAGCAACAAAGCGATCTCAGATTTGGCCCAAAGTATCGATTTCAACAAAGACGGCAGCATTGACATTAATGAGTTCATGGAGGCGTTCAGACTGGTGGACCTCTCTGCACACGCCCAGTAGATTTATGTATTAAAACGTGAACAAAATCCAAAACAGGGGAGTAGGACACTGGGTTGAGGACCACAAGAGGATTTTTAGTTTTAATCAACAGTTTATCATTACAAAACACTGTATTTAAAGATTAGGGACAATAACAAACACTTTTCAAATATGCAACGTTTGACCCTACATATGTAATGATACACTGCAAAATATGATAAAAATTAGGTAAAAGCTTGAATAGAGTGTTTTCTTTATTTTCTCATTCCGAGGGAGATCATTTTGCTTTGTCCTATTGGCACATCTCAACTCAACTCAAAAACGTTATAATCCCCAGGGGGAAAATTGTTTGCATGTGGTGGAGCAATACAGATTCAGATTCAGGTTCATTAATTTGCCATTTGCAGTAAAACCACATTGGAAAAACTGTACAAGACTACCCCAGTGTGCACCAGACAGAGAAGACGACACACACCAGAGCTCTTGCCACGGCGCCATCTTTACAGCGCCATGCGAATAACAATAATAATACGATACAATAATAACAATAATCAATACAACACAATTTATTCTTGTATAGCCCTAAATCACAACAGTATCATCTCAGAGACTTAAAGCTGCACTAACTGACTTTGGGATTTTGAAGCCGCGGACTCGCTGGCCTCGCTCTTTCTGCTCCCCTCCCCGCACCCACGAAGCTATCGCCCCCCACACACACCCACTGTTGGGACGGAGCTAGTGTCTCCCAATATGGATAATACATGGATATGGATTTTCACGTGGATGGCGTGACCATAGAACGATAGAACCGGGAAGCGCGGAGGAACGGGACTTTCTTTTGGATGGCTGTTTCGCTGTGTAAGCAGTACCCGGTGACGAAGACGAGAAAGTTTCAGGTTAGCTCCGCCGCTTGTTGTGCTAACTCAGCTGTCTGTGCTAACGGACCTGGAGATTTCTCACGAAAGTGGGGGCTAGTGGTGCGCTGTGATTGGTCACAATCTGCGACCCGAAACACATTCTCTTCCTTGTTTCATCCAAACTCGATTGAAAATATAATGTCACGCCAGCACAAATCTGCACTACTTTTTCTTCAAAAGGACGTATATCCCAATGCACTACATGGACATGGATAGCTTTTTTGTAATTCATACGAAAATAAAGTCAGTTAGTGCAGCTTTAACAAAACCATTGAAATCACCAAATCATCAGTTAAAACACATAAAGAATATAGAACACATGTTGATAAATGTCATACATGTTGTAGAATGTTAAAGTGTCCTGGATCATCACCACATCCTTTTTGTTGGGCACTAACTGTCCAACTGACTCCTGCATCGGCAAGGAAAAACTCATAAGAAAAACCCAGTGGGGAAAAAAGTGAGAAACCTCATATTGTGAGAGGGATCCGCTCCACACGGACCTACAGTAAGTTACAGAACGAGGACCATGGCCACACACACAGCGGCCGCAGAACGTGGGCAGGTCCGGTGCAGGACTGAAGCAGCTCCCAGGCGGGTCGGTCAGGGCAGTCCGCAGTGAGTATGGCACAGATCAGGGCATAACTTAATTGAGAGGAGTTATCCTTTAGTGTCTATTCAACATTCAGACTTGTTTTAAGGCAGTCAGAATGGGTTCAAATAGATATATTACATACTGTACATAGCTACATTTTGCCAAATTTGAGCAATTTTAGACATTTTTTGCAGTGTATATAGATATTGAAGCATTTACAGCTAAGAAACATACTTATATTGTATATTTTGTGTGCTTTTTCTACTTTGCTGTCTGTGCACTGCAACATTGAAATTTCCCCGCTGTGGGACGAATGAAGGCTCTCTTATTTTATTTAATCCTAATTCCCAGTGCGGGTCAGAAGTTCAAGCCTTGGGGAACCCCAGGCCTAGAAAGTTTGCAGCGTGTGCAAAAATCTCCCCAACTCGCGACGAACCAGCAGCGACAAATATAATCTGCTTAATCAGTTCAACTGCCGCGGACGTAAATCCAGGACAGGAATCCTCTCCACCTAAGCCAGACTTTGATGAGCTGTTGGAAAGGGTCTGAATGTAAACAAGTCACACTGCAAAAAATGATAAAATATGAGGTAATAATTGCTTGAATTGAGTTTTCTTCTTAAAGTACATTCTGTGTAAAAAGCAAGATTTGCCGATGGGACGAAGCCGTTTATTCTTATTCTCTCATTCCAAGGGCGACATTTCTTGAATCTTTTTATAATAACATACATTTGGCAAATTTGTTTTAAAGGTACTCTATATAATTTTTACAGTTGCTCCAAATGAAAAAAACATGTTAACCAGTGACAAATATGACCTATTTAAGATTATTTACAAAATTTTTTTTGGAATGGTTGTTATTGACATAGAATTGGACTTATAAATGTCCATGAGGCTGAGGACTAAATTAAAATATATGATCTAAATGCTAGATGGGAGTTAAAACTACAGAAAACTACAGTGTACCTATAGAATGTGCTCAAATTAAAACACATTCTTAGTCACATATTTTTGACTAATTTTCACTTTTTGCAGTGTGTACCAACTGTGAAAGTTTTGTGAAATAAAAGTGAATCCAACTTATAAATACACAAACACACGAGTCGTATTATTTACACACATTTATTACATTCAACACAATAAAAAAAGATACAAATGTGTATTTTTAAAAAGTTTGAACCTCGGATACCATGAATCGCTAGATCTTTGTGTCTGTTCAATGCTTTTACTGCTGACCTGTGAGTGCGCTGCAACACTGAAATTTACCCACTGTCGACAAATAAAGCATTTCTTATCGTGAATGCTTGTCCAGAGAACGACATGAAATACTGAAATGCCTCCAATCGTCCAATCTTGAAGCAGAAATGAGTCCTTAACTAGATGGGAGTAGTTCATTACAGACGGTCAGTTGAGAAGGCCTCCTCTGATGTGTCCACTGTCGCTCAGTCCGTGCTCGATCAGTTTGATGTCCTCTAAATCGTCTTTGATGACGCTTATCAAATGGCTGAGGCCGTCCTGTTGTTGTTTTAAATGCTGAGAAGAGAAAAAACTGAGTCAATAACGTAAACTGCACTTACCACTTTCTGGATTATAAGGCGGTGTATATAAGAAGCACCAAAAAAGAAAATCTGTCCACATGTAGAAAGTGGGGGAAAAAGTTGAGTCTGTTCAGTATTGTAATATTATGCGCATGCAGTTAAAATCCATGCAGTAGAGAAAAGTATTGAGATGTATAATTGAGGTTTATGTTCCGCCGTTTGTGACTCTAGTCTGTTGTATCTGAATAATGTAAGTGACGCTGGGAGCTCACCTTCAGAGAACAATGTCTGTCTGTAATGAGGTCCTGTATCCTGAATGTTCAAGGATCAAGTTTTTGCTCTACCCTCCTCAGTGTTTGCACGTTTTTGGAGTTGAGTAGTCTTACATTGCTCTTTTTTTTTTGATTCCGAGTACTAACACACAGGCTGTACCTGAATATAAGCCGCAGGTTTCCATGTTGTAAAGTAGCAGAGAGACGACTGTTTTAACTGGACACATGATTTAATGACCAGCTTCACCGTTATCTTCCATCACTCATTCACCTTCATCTGTTTTGACAACATACCAGTGTCCTGTAGCTGCTCTTAGACAAAACAATAAGGCCATAAACTCCATATATTAGCCATATCCCTATATAAGCCGCAGTGGTGAAGGAACTAGAAAAAAGCAGTGGTAATATAAAGGAGAGCATCTACAACACTCACTTGTTTGATTTCTCGGAGCAGATCGGCGTCGACGCTGTAGCGCTCCTCTGACCTCACGGCGCCAAAGTGGTTCTGCATCCGGATTTGAGACATGAGTTCATTCAAACGGCCCTGGATCAGAGGAACAAGGATTTATGTTATGATGTCACTGTGTGATGTTGGACGAACGAGAGAGAGAGAGAGAGACCAGAGAGAGAGACCACAAAGAGAGAGAGATCAGAAAGACAGAGACCAGAGAGAGACCAGAGCGAGAGAGAGACCAAAGCGAGATTGCGAGAGAGAGACCAAAGCAAGAGAGCGAGAGAGAGATCAAAGCGAGAGAGCAAAAGAGACCAAAGCGAGAGAGAGAGAGAACAGAGAGACCAGAGAGAGAGACAAGAGAGGGAGAGCCCAAAGAGAGGCCAGAGAGACACCGGAGCGAGACCAGGGAGAGACAAGAGAGAGAGACCACAAAAGGAGAGACCAGAGCGAGAGAGTGAGAGAGCAGAGAGACACTAAAGCGAGAGAGACCAAAGTGCGCAAGAGAGACCAAAGCAAGAGAGCGAGAGAGACCAAAGCGCGCAAGAGAGACCAAAGCAAGAGAGAGAGACCAGAGACCAGAGAGAGAGAGAGAGAGACCAGAGAGACAGACCAGAGAGAGAGACTAGAGAGAGACCAGAAGGAGACCAGAGAGAGAGACCACAAAGGGAAAGACCAGAGCGAGAGAGTGAGAGACCAGAGCAAGACCAGAGAAAGACCAGAGAGAGACCTTGTTATCGCTCCATAATGATCCGTTACCTTGAACTGCGTGGGAGCATTGAGTTCGGACTGAATGGTGTCCAGCTGGACTCTGAGGTGCTCTTCGTCTACTTGAATGGCATATCCACTCTTCCTCTGTATCTCCTGCTTTATCAGAACCTTTAACAATAAAAGAAAACAAAACAAAAAAAACATTAAAAGCACATCAGATACAGCTTGATCAGACCAGAGCGAGACCAGAGTGAGACCAGAGCGAGACCAGAGCGAAACCAGAGCGAGACCAGAGCGAGACCAGACCAGAGAAAGAGCCCAAAGAGAGACCAGAGAGAGACCAGGCCAGAGAAAGAGCCCAAAGAGAGACCAGAGAGAGAAACCAGAGAGAGACCAGGCCAGAGAAAGAGCCCAAAGAGAGACCAGAGAGAGAGACCAGAGAGAGAGAGACCAGAGAGAGAGACCAGAGAGAGAGACCAGAGAGAGACCTTCATACCTGCAAAACTCTATGGGACAGGTCCATAAGGTTCCTCTTGTATTGGGCGATTTTAGCCACTGTCGTCGCCTGGTCCTTCTGCAGGTCACTTATGTCATTGGAGATTATCTGTGAAAACAATACTGGATGATTACTGCTATATTATGCATGAAATAATCATTGTATACAATATTTTTTTTAAAGCTAAAATGAGCTCTTACATCCACTCTGGTCTGATGCTGTTTGGTCATCTGCTCCTGGATTTGCAGCCTCCTCAGCAGCTCTTTGAAACTCACCATTGGTACAGGGATTAATCTACAAAAACAAACGCCGAAACTGATATTGTGCCGTGTTGTGATACTCAGCTGCAGCAATGTAATTAATAACTGTGATTCATACTAATACATGCACAATACAGTGGAAATAAACTGTCATGTTGGACTAGTGGTTATGTGATGTTGTATATGGATGTTAGTGGAGTAGACACGCACCAAAAGACCAGAGAGAAACCAGAGAAAAAGAGACCAGAGAGAGAGAGAGAGAGAGAGAAAGGAACAAGAGAAAGAGACCAGAGAGAGTGGGAGAGTGACCAGCCTGAGAAACCAGAAAGACTAGCCCGAGAAACCAGCTAGAGAAACCAGAGAAAGACCAGGGAGAGGGAGAGACCAGCTAGAGAAACCAGAGAAAGACCAGCCTGAGAAACCAGAGAGACAAGAGAGAGACAAGAGAGAGAGAGAGAGAGAGAGAGAGAGACAGAGAGACCAGAGAGAGAGAGAGAGACCAGAGAGAGACAGACCAGAGAGCGACCAGTGTCTTCAAATGCCACTAAACCCCTGTCCTCTTACCTCTCTGGATCAGGATTATCCACCTTCGCCTGTTCCCAAATGATAGGATCAACACCTGGAGAGAACACACACTATGTTAAGAATGTGTTTTTTGGTGTGTTTTTGCAGTACTCCAACTCACCAGCAGGGGCGTTCTGCAGCAGCTGCTTGAGTTGTGCAGGAGACAGCTCTGTGCGTGCGACAGACATGATGACGGAGAGTTGAGTGAGCTGCATCTTGATGTTGGCCTGCTCCAGGTAACCGAAGAGCGTGGAGGCAGGGATGCGCTTCGAGGTCCCGTTCGGCGACCTCTCCACCACATACACGGTCACTTCGGTCCTAAACGCACAGCAGGGATTTAGGGCTGCGCAGCTGGGGCAAAATGTCCGCTTGATTTTTCTGGTATTTCTGTGTATGAACTGTTGAACTAAGAATCCAGTTTGTGGAGGTTTGACTACAGCAGGCATGTCCAAACCCAGGCCCACGAGCCAAATGTGGTCCTCTGTGCCATGTTATGTGGCCCTTCTGCTGCTAACACAAAGTCACCATTGAGGCCCTTTGACAGTGTCATCCAACCAACTTCAGCTCCACCAATACTGTCACGCTACACCTTGTAAATCTCAGACCATCTGGTCGTTGACTCTATTGTCCTAACATTCCGCATAAAATGCAGCTGTGAATCAATAAGGACGTATCATCGCCCATTTTATATTCCAGAATCTAGTCAATCCAGTTTTTAAAATCCAGGTTGTCTGCCCCAGGTCAAGTCTGAAGAATTAAAGTGGCCCTCTTGCTAAATAGTTTGGACACCCCTGGACCACGGTATAATATGCCACTCTCAATATGGGCATACCAAAGATTTCTAAAAATTTTCCCACAGTTCTTTGAAGTCTTTTCACAGGAAGAGTCTAAGGACGGTGCTGATCTTGGACATACACATACATATTTACGGACAGTGGTCATCGCGCTCCCTATGGACCAATGGCTCCTATGTGCTTGTTATTATTGGATTTCCTGATTCTCTGATCGGTTGATGGCCAATGTGCAACTTTGTAAAGCCCTCAAAGACGACTGCTGTTGTGATTTAGGGATTTAAAAGAATAAATGTCATATAATATGTTATTGCCTTTTTGATTGAACTCTGATCCTTCTTGCAACCCAAAGTGGAGGAATCAGCTGCTCAAATGAACATCTTAGATTAAACTGACAGAATATTTTCATGTTTTGTGCTGTCAACTCCAGATTATAGACCGTTTATGGGTAATAACAACAACTTAAGATAGCAATTATTAAATCTAAAACTTCTTTAACATGCTTCAGAGATTTTATTTGATTCAGTATAGAGTTATGGTTCATTTATCTTGTGTTAATCCTACTGTTCTGTAACTTGTGATACAACACTGACATTTCCTCACTGTGGGACGAATAAAGAATCTCTTCATCTTCATCTCACAGTAACAATAGAGCACACTCACTGATCGTCTGGCAGGGACTTCACTCCTTCCACGTTGACGGACAACATTTGATTATTTCCCAAAACCTTCTGGAGCGACTCGACGAACTGCTGCTGCTGGGCCCGCACGTCTTGTTCTTTTTTATTGAGAACTAACGCCACCAATCCGTCTTCATCTTTGGTGACGGGGATGCAGCTATAGCCAACAGCCTGGGCAGGAGATTTCTGTTAATACTTTCACCATATAAAGACCTTTTACTTATTTTTTTTCTAATCTAAAGCCCAACCTTGAAGCGGCAAAAGGGGTTTTCTTGGTTGAAGTCGACGGGAGGGTTGTTGTTGGCGTAGTAGCCCTTCCCGGTGCCCCAGTACGCCTGCAGCTGGTTCCATTTGGCCAAGATGGTGTCCCGCTCGTCTCCTAATAGAGTCGGGGCGGACAGAGCCATGACTTGCTGATAGAGCTGCGTCTGCTGAGCTTGGCCCGGCTGCGGAGCCTGCTGACCGAACAGGCCTCCTGCAAACCATACGAGAGGGAGACAAACATGGCAGGTTGTTTACGTGAGAGGGAGGGTTAGGACTCTGAGGGCCCGTGTGTGAAATCATATCACATTCTGTCTGTCTGTCTATAGCCGGGAACCAGGGGTCTGCAAAATGTTTTGTTTGGAGAGCTACTTTTACGCAGCAGAAATGGCAGAGAGCTCCTTTTTTGCTACTGTAGTATGTAATAACTGTGGAAAATCATGGACTACACACTGTAAAATCTATTACTGTATTTGAGTTTAACTATACAATAAAAACATGTATACATTGGTTTGAAGTTTAGAGGTTTTTATTGCCTGTTGTTATTTTTGTCTGTGTTGATATGGACCTTGAGTCTGCAATAAAGTTCATCTATCCATCTAGAGATAAATTAGATATGCTATGACTTAAAATATAATCCTTTAGGGTCAAATTCCTGAATCTTTAGGAGAGCTACCTGAAAGGGGAGGGTGGTTGACTACAGGAAGAAGTTCCGATCACACACTCATTCACCAACATTCACCGGTGCGACCACGACGGGGTCATGGCCCTGGCTTATCCGTTGGCTTTCATCCAAGGGACAATACAGCAAAACTCTGGCTTCCTCCACTGTCATAGCTCTCTCAGAATCCATACCTTGGCCTTCCTCTCGGTCTACTGCCACTCATGCAACTATTCATCACCCTCTTAATCTATTCTCTGCATAAGTGGGCGGCACGGTGGCTGAGTGGATGGCACTCCGGCTTCACAGCAAGAAGGTCCTGGGTTTGAATCTTGGTTGTAACAGGGTTCTTTCTGAGTAGAGTTTGCATGTTCTCCCCATGCCTGCGTAGGTTTCCTCCAGGTACTCCGGTTTCCCCTACCACTAAAAACATGCACACTAGGTAAAATCCTCCAGCTCCGGTAGTCCTGACCAAGCTAAGCATCAAATGAGAAATGGGTTCCCGGGCGCTGTACTACTGCGACCACTGCTCCTGACGTGAGCCTTAGTGCCACCAGGATGGGTCAAATGCAGAGGATGAATTGCCCTACGGGGATCATTAAAGTGCACATTACCTTAGCCAAATACCATCTCAATACAAATGCATCTACTACACAAAACTATTACAAAACAACTTTGTTTAACCTATAAACCTAAAAATATGTGTAAACTTTTTTTTACATATAGCACCTTGAACCCAAAGCCCCGTACATAGCATTTAAATATATAATCAAGTTATTGTAGCCTTAGATTATCAGGACAGAGAAGGACAAAAAGGTAAGTATTGGCGCCCTCTGCTGTCCGATCTGTTCAACGCATACAGTGCTATGAATCAAACATTCAGTCGAAAGGACATTACTTCACACGATTCCCGCTTGATGCCACAAATATTATGTTAGTATTTATCTTGAAACAGTGAGTTAGGAGAGGCTTGTCCAACTGCCTTTTATGTCATGTTATGTGGCCGTCTGCCTTGCTAACCTAATGTAGTATTTGAGATCCTAAACACAAGTACAGAGTGTCATCCAGCCAACTTCAGCTCTGAACATACCTCGTTGTGAAGCTCAGAACCTCTGGAACTAGTCATTCAATTTATTCATAATATACTGACATTTACAGACGTATAATGTATAACAATATTGGGAGTTGTGGGAAGGTTTTATGGGAATACTCGGGGTCAAACAAGTAAGAAACAAACCCTCCACCAGCAAAGTTGCGCAGTGACCCTTTAAGTTAAATCTGATAATGCATGCATGACTTTGTCTTTTGTTGTTTTCTTGCAGTTTTGTCCAGAATGGACTTAATTATAAAAAATGTTTTAAAGAAAAGAGTAAAGAACAGGCGTCTTATACATGCCTTTATTATTTTATTTGTCTGCACCATACACCAACGCAAATTTCTAGCCTAGTTTTTACAACTTCCTGTTACAATGGAAATAAAAATTATATAAGAAACATATTTGAAATGATCTGAAAGAGGCATCATGGCCAAAACATTGAACAAAATACAGATTTTTTTTTCCTAGTTTAAAAAAATACTCAGTCTCACCTGGCTGCTGCTGCTGCTGCGGCTGAAGACCAAACCCTCCGAACCCTCCGAGGCTCGTCGTCCCCAAACCGGTCCCGAAGGCGGAGGTTCCCGCTGTGGTCCCGGCGCCGAGACCGGAGGAGAACCCAAAACCTTTGTTCTGTTGTGTGTTTCCGAAGAGACTCCCTGTGACATAGCACCACACCGGTCACATACTACTGCTTTTATTATTACATTAATTCTTATTCCATCCAATTGTTATGATAATTAACTACCACTTTACCTGCTGCTATTTGTACTATTTTTTGGTTTCATATGACGTCAGGGCAGTGGCGCAAATAACAAACGTATGACAGGACGTGACGTATCCTGGCGGTGCAGTCTGCCGGGTTTATACACGGAGATACAGTAGAAGAAGAAGCGCTGTCAAAAGGCTTTCCCAGATAAGCGCCCCCTGCAGGCCACCCCAATGAAACGCAGCAATTTCTTTTCTTTCAAAAAATGCCCGAAATCAAGACTCTTTTGAGAAATATTTTTTAGTACTCCCTTAGAATGAGTGAATTGAGTGTCCCCGATTAAGACTGTTCCAACAACCGTACACCGCACAGGAGGAGAGCCTTTGACTCCAAAACAGACTTTACATGGTTTTCAATGGGAGGAAACTGAGTTGTCCCACCTCTCCTTTCGCCCCCTACTGGCCAGGTTCATGAAACCCATACATTGTTATCTGGTCATAGTCTCTGCTGCTACCTGCTTTTCCCCTTTTTTATTAAATTTTTTGTATTTGTATGTTAATATTTAGTACTTAAAATCTGGGACCAAATATGGAATGGCAACACTTAAAGACTGGGTAATGTGTGTGGTGAAGACTGTCCCAATAAATACATATGAAGACTAAAAAACTAAATATTCTCTGCAGCTAAAGCACGTTACCAATCGTCTGTAAAACCTCATGACTGCAACTAACAGCTTATTTGCCTTTTGCAGTAAAACCCCATTGGAGTACATGCGCAAAAATCCCCAGACAATACATTTGAAATAAAGTTAAAAGTACAGAAATGAAACTACAGTGTGACTTATCTTTGACCCGATGATAGCTCCAGAGTTACAGACCGTATTATTTTTATCATCTTAAATAATAATTCATGTTTGTGCATAATATGAGTGCTCTTATTTCTCCTTTTCTGCTGTGACGTGCACAACTATGACCGGTGAGAATGAAGGTTCTTCGTATCAAATCTAATCTCACGTCACTTTGATTCCCTCGAGACTTGACGTTGTACAAACCTGTGGCGTTCCCTGGAGTCGCGAAGCTGAAGGTGGAGCCTGGAGCCGCGGCAGAGGTCGTTGTGGTTCCGAATCCGCCAAAGGTTCCTACGAAACATTTATTTATCACATTATTAAACAAATACAGAAACAGTTACAAGCTACGTGCTAGAGTTTGCAGATTATGAACCAGAACAAGAACTCACGATACAACATTGTACACACACACACACACACACACACACACACACGCACACGCACATGCATTACCGTACATTCTGGACTTTAAAGCGCACCTGTATTTAAGCCTCACCACAATGTTTGTCCACATATAAGCCACACTTTAATATTAGCTGCAGCTTTTCATGTTGTAATGTAGCAGATAGAGCTGGGGTGGAACCTTTCCGATAAATTCCCGGAACGTTTCTGGCAAATTTCCATGGGAAATTAAGATGGGGAATTTTGGGAATATTCCATATTGAAAACTAACTGGGGGTTATTTTTAATTAATGTAATCAAATTGTATCATATTCATAGATATAAAAAACCATCCATGCAAAAAGTTTTCAACAAAAATGTCAACAGATGTATTTATAAGTAGAACGGAACTAGTTTTAATTATTTTATTGAACAATCGCTTTTTCCATGGAGAGGGGCGCGTGCTCTCTCTCTCTAATGAAATATATTATGCTAAAATATACTTTCAACAACTATAAAGGATAAGATACTTTATTGATCTCACACAGGAGAATTTACATATTTAAGTTCCCATGTGTAGAGCAAATTTAACATTTTGAAAATTTCCATTATTTACAATAATTTCCCATTCATTTCCATGGAATTTTGTAACTCTAGAAAGACGACTGTTTTAACTGGTCAAAACATAATTTAACATTACAAACCGTTTACTCATGACTTCCATGACTCATTCTCCTTCATCTATTTTGACAATAAATAAGTGTCCTATAGCTACTAAAACTTTGGAGTCAAAATAATGAGTCAATAAACTCTTCTGCGTCGCTCTATAAGCCGCGGGGTCCAAAGCACTAGAAAAATTAGCGGCTTATAGTCCAGAAATTACGGTATATATGTAATGCACATAGCAATAACATGCGAAGGGAACTAGCATGCGTAAAACAGACTACAGCCCACAAATGTCTAAATACAACAAAAAAACAGAGTAACCACAAACACTATACTTTGACAAAAAGGTCTCTACCTGTGCTAGTCAGACTATTACCAAAATTGAAGGCCGTGCCAGTGGTAGTGGTCGTAGTAGCAGTGGTACCAAAACATCCCACATTAAAGTTGACGGCTGCTGGGTTTGGATTCAGCCCAAACCCCCCAAAACTAAACCCTCCAGCTGCTCCCAACCCCCCAAGTCCTACAGTCCGGTTAGGCCAGCAGTAAAAGAAAGAGGTTAAACAGATGAGCAAGGCAGAATATTTACATGAGGAGCGGTTACGGAATGAAAATAGTTCGAGAAAACGTCTTACCGGTGGCATTTGAACCGAAGCTAAAGCCTGTAGAGGGCGCTGCTGCACTAGTCGTAGCAGTGCCGAAGTTCGGGGCTGTAAAAGCTGGAAGAAATGGATGGAGACGGCATTTAAAGCTATGATTGAGAATGAAGAAATAAGTGTTAGCTTGGAGAGACGTCCCATTCAGAAGAGAAAACATGCAAAAACATAACATTAACTGGTTTAGTGGCCCCATATATTCTAGATTAGATTATTTATATGGAGTCTATGTCTTCACATGCGTCAGTAACAGATAAATAAGAAGTATAAGTGGTTGGATGAAAGAAAGGCTTTTTTGAGATCAACCCCATCACACATGCTACACAATACACTGCTACAACAAAAATAATATCAAGCAGTAGAATACCAAAACACACAAGGGTACAGTTTATCCATCCATCCATCCATTTTCTACCCTTTAATCCATTTCTGGGTCAGGGGGGTGGCAGTCAGAGATGCCACCCAAGTCTCATAGCACCAGCCCCTCACTGACCCTCTGCAGGTGGTGAGTCCACAGGAGGATGGCTGCTCTGAGTGTGAGCATAGCCTTGATCTTTCAGTGGGGGCTTTGGGCAAAGTGGGGTTAAGTGTCTTGCCCAAGGACACAACGACATCAGTCATCAGTGGGAGTCGGTGGAGAAGGTGCAGAGGTGGGAATTGAACCCACAACCTTCTGGCCTTAAGGCCAATGCTCTACCAACTGAGCTACTGTCGCCCCAGGGTACAGTTTATACAGTACAGTTTTTTTTTTTTTTTTTTGGGCCTATGTGTTTTGATTAGTTTGGTCTGTCTGTGTTATACCATCTGTTTGAGTAGTTTTATGTATTGTATAAAGGGTACAGTTTATACAATACATAAAACTACTCAAACAGATAGACAGACCAAACTAATCAAAACACATGGGCCCAAAAAGTCTCTCACACTATCAAAATGTCATTTCCCTGCATGTAACGTCTGGGTCTGGTCCCTGTGTTTGTGATTACAAATCGGTCAAATTCCATCCGACCAATCAGAGAGCGCGGGAGGCAGGTGTTGTAATTAGTTGTGGGTGACGTCAAGAGTTTGCGTCGAACGGGAAGGTTGTAGTTTGAAGAATGTGATAGTAATCTGTTCTGGTTCTATCAAGAAATTGAAGCCGACGCAAGAAGAATGTTTAGAAAATGTAATCGCTGGCAAAAATTGTGGCACTACTGTGGCACACTATTACGTCACGGTGAACTCAGATCCAATCGTTTCAATCTGCAAAAGGAGTTAACCCCTCCCACCTGTAAACGGAGTCAATGGAGCAAATCCAGACCTTAGTACGAAATAATGTAATTTGTACTATGGTGTGGTACGACCAGGCTATCAAAATGTAGGAGACACAATAATTATTATTAGTACAGGACTCTAAAAAATACAGGACTTTAAAAAATAGGTTCTTAATCTCAATGGGACTTTCCTGGTCAAATAAAGGTTAAAAAAATAAAAAAAATAAAAAGACATTCAATGATGAAAAATACAGATACTATGACCTTATTGCCACAACAATTCTAAAAAATTAAACTACAATAATCAGAGTATTTCTCATGTACTTACTGCCGAACCCAGATGGAGCCGTGGTGGCGACGGCCGGAGCACCAAACCCAAACGTTGTGGAAGGTGCAGTGGTTTTGGCGCCAAACGAGCCAAAGGAAAAACCAGCCGTGCCTGCAGAAACAAACCAATTAGAGAATTTACACCTCAATAGTCAAGGAGAGGCTACAAAAACTACCTCATTCATACTCAAATATATTAGTAAACGAAAAGAGAGTCCAGGATTTCCATGCCGACGCAAGAGGGTTAAAGACAGTGATGACCCGTGTCAGGATATTTATTAACATTTAACATTTGGACATTGGTCGTCCCACTCCCTATGGACTGATGGATTCTTCTTACAACTTTGTAAAGTCCCTCTTTGAAATACAGAAGACAACTAAAATCCTGATTCTACAGAAACAGAAGAGTGAGTTCTAATCTCCATGGAAACATTGTCTTTGTTTCTTGAATGTGTAACAGATAAATTATTAAACTTTATTACAGACACGAAGTCCAGATAAGAAAGACATTACACAGAAACAAAAACAACAATAATCATAAAGATAAGCATACATGATTACAGCAGACTACTGTACCAGTGACGCCACAGTTCAGACTGATAGCGTGTGGCACTGATTCTGATGTTGGTCAGGCTCATTATGATCACATTCTGACTTTGATTCAGTCGACAAATAAATCTGTACATCAGGTTTCTTAGTACAGCACGAAAAGTTCGAATCCCAGAAGAAACAAATAATAGGCTGGCACTCTCCCACCGAGACCTTTTCAACAGGATTCTTAGGCAGTCATTGTATGCCACATTTAGCTTCCGCATGCTGGATTGTCTATAGTTTGACCACAGATGTGCCGTATATAACGTATCTTTTTCACTTCATCTGTGCATGCACCAAACCTGCGCACAAGCCTATTGGCCTGTGCATACATCATGCGGCACTGCCGTAACACATCGTCATCGTCAGACAGGTTTTCAGTAATAAAATGTCCCAAGTACTTATATTTGCTACCCAATATCAGATTATTTACACACAATTCAAATTGAGGAAACTTCAAGATTTTGTCATCTCTTGTCCGGCAAATCATTATGACACTCTTGCTGGCATTATATTTGATGTCATATTCCAGACCATACTTGGAGCAAACATGAAGAAGTTCTTGGAGGCCAGCACTGCTTGGACTCAATACAACAACATCATCAGCGTACATTAGGTGATTTACAAGAGTTGAACCAATCATACAGCCAGTCCTACATGCATTCAACCATTGTGACAACTCATCCATATACAGACTAAACAACACTGGAGAAAGAATTCCACCTTGCCTTACTCCATTGGTAACGCCAAAGGGGGCAGAGACAGTACTACCCCACCTCACCTGCATTATCTGGTGAGCATACCAGTAGACTAGGATTCTCAGTATGTACTCAGGTACTCCTCGCTGACGCATTTTAGTAAATAGCTTTGGGTGATTAACCCGGTCAAATGCTTTGGAAGCATCAATGAAACATATCTACACAGAAGAGTTCTTATTCTTATATTTCCTTATTATTTCCTTTAGTGCAAATATACATAAGTCTGTGCCATGCTTTGACTTGAACCCAAATTGATTGTCAGCAGAGGAAATAATGTCTTGTATTCTACATAACAGTACCTTTTCTAAGACTTTTGATGTAATACTCGCTAAGGCGATGGGCCTATAATTGTCAACACTGCCCATTCTTCCTGCTTTGTCCTTTATGACTGGCACCAGGGTGACTGACAAAAGTGCATCAGGCAGGATACCATGGGTCAGACAGCTGGTAAAGCAAATGGCCAGAAGAGGGGATAGTCTAATGCTGGCGTGTTTTAAATGCTCAGCATATATACCATCAGCACCACAAGTTTTATTGTCAGGCATATTTTTAATTGCTTGGTACACATCATGTGCCATTATGCTCACACACTCGTGTTTCTCTATAGCCTCCACGTTTAGTTTTTCAGCAGGTAGACAATTGAACAGGGCAGTGTAATGCTGTTTCCAGCGCTCCAATACGTTTTCAGGACCAGAAATGCCATCCACAGTACAGGGTAGAGTTGTCCTATCACTGTTGAGAACTCGCACCTCCTTCCAGAAATCAATAACGTTGTTACTCAAGAGCTTCCCAGCTAAGGAATCTGATCTCATACATTCCTCATTTTTTTTAATATACCTTATGGCATATTTATATCTAGCATTGGTGAGCTTCTTCTTTTGATACTCAGGACCCTGTCTAGGTCTTCCAGCCTGAGCCCACTCTTTAGTAGCTTCCCGGGCCTGCTCATAGTGCTCAGCTACATACCTATTCCAGCCAGGCCGCTTAGTATTTTTCTTATTTATCAGTTTACAAAAGGGGGTACCACTTTTATCTAGAGAGCTTACAATTTCATCATAAAAAACACAAATGTCTCTACTATGATTAACATCCACACAGTTTGGATCAGTACATCTGATTGCATCCAAAGGTAAACTAATACTGCAGAGTAATTTGTCAGTCTGGATAAAATAGGACATAAGGTCTTCTTTTGTGAGAGACGACCAGTCCAACTTCCCTTGATGTACAATTTTCTCAATTGTAAACAGTACTGACAACTGTTCAACTTTAACAGAGAAATAAATAGGTATATGGTCACCTGTAACCATATCATACAGTATTTCCATTGACCCAAGAGAAGCATGCGCATCAGATGTACTAATACAGTGGTCTAGCCACGAAGTAGTATGCCATGCCTCACTGATAAAGGTATAACTGTCACAAGGCAAGAGCAGCTTACTGGACAATATGTAATGATGGTCTTCACAAAACTGAACCATACATTTACCAAACACAGAGTTAAAATCTGATATGTCGGGATTCATGTCTCCTAGTACATAGATACTTGACGTAAGACAACTTTCAATAAAAGAATGTAAAAAAGCTAATTTGTTTAAATATTCATCCTCATTCTGTCGGCATTCATAAGGGGTATATACATTTAAAATGACAAAATCCTTATTATCACATGTAAACTGAACACCAATACACCAATCCACACCAAGTGTGACAACTTTAATGTATTTATCAAGAGTCTTTCTCCATAGTATTGCTACACCTCCTGCTATTCTCCCTCGGACAATACCGCGGTCATAGTCTGTAGTGGACTCTCCAGCACCATGGAAGTAGTCATTAAAAGAGTTTAACTTCTGCAAATCTTGTTGCGCTAAAAATGTCTCTTGCAAACAGAGTACATCACATTTTAATAGCAGTTTGTCAATAACCAAACGTCGAGCTTTATCCCCTGCGCTGTTCCCAAGCCGCAAACCACGACAATTATAGGACAAGACTCGTATCTCCATAGATCCAAACTAGTTCGCCACCACAGTGGTGCCATTACGCGCACGCCCCTCCACAGCGCCTGGCACAGGGATGTAAAAAACTATGCATTTTCATGACCGACCACCGAGCCTCATTAACTGGTTGAAACCGGTTAACCGCGTAGTTTAAAATATTCCACGTTCTTTGAAATAGCAGCCATTTCGAGCCGCGTACTTTTCATAAGTGCAGCTCTGCGTTCTACTGGATCAGAGCTGAGACAGCGGCGCCAAAACCCGCAACAGCTTCGGCACCTTTGCGCACAGAGAACTGCTTTTTTAATCTTCCCATTCTGCTGTGCTGCGGGTTAACCCTTTAGGCGCCAGAGTTTTGACGGCTTGTTCACATGGTCAGAGCAGCGAGTTACACCCCGCGTCTCGCAGGTCTCCGCTAAAGTTTAAAAGTGATGTGTGTGGATCTGATCTAATGACAAGGACCAGCAGCACAAACATGTTTCATGTGTTTGGGGCCGCGTATTTGCGAGGATTCTTTGGGCTGCGAGACACAGAGGTGCGCGACAGACCGGTATGTGTGTGTGTACAATACATGTATGTATGTGTGTGTGTGTGTAAATATAAGCTCCAATGTAGTTCTGACCTGCACTAGTGTGGAACTTTGGCGGTAACAGAGGGGAGAGATGATGCGTGTGGATGATATGGAGGGGGGGAAAGTGTGTGTGTGTGTGTGTGCGTGCGTGCGTGTGTGCGCGTGCGTGGCTGCGTGCATATGTGGAGCGTGCGCCATGAAAGTCGCCCGTAGTCTACTAATGCATTGGCGCACACCCGCTCGTCACATCGTACAAATAGGGCTTATTAATAGCCTTATTAAGAGACCTCCCCTCTCCGCTTTTTCTTATTTTTAACCGACAGCTTTGACCGGTTAACGCTGTGACGGTCAACCACCGGTTAAACGGTCACCGATTTACATCCCTAGTTACCAACGCGACGGGGCTCGTAAAACCGCCGAACAAGGGCTCCCTCTGGCCATAGTTCTGGATCATACATCTCTTTCACGTCGTTACATTCAGCACTAACTTTGAAAGAGCTGAATCGGTTGTGCACTGAGTTTAGCTTATGACAAGCAATGTCACAGCCAAGTTTTCCTTTTAGATACAGAGTTAAAGTACCTTCATCCAAATCCGGAGAAAATCTGGACGCGAACACACTCACCAGCTTGGTCCTGATCGTTCTGATGCTGCCCACAGTCCCAGTTCCAACAACGGGCTTGGTCACCCTGGGTCTCCTCACCTGCCCAGGCGCAGCAGTGCGCGTTCGTGCTGAAGTATCCTCCATTACGCGCTTGCCCTTTCTCACTACTTGACTCCACTTCGGCGACTGTGGCACCCTACACTCCGCTGAAGCGTTCGCCGTATCCATGCCAATGTTCAGGATTGACGCTGCAGTAGAGGCAACATACTCCAGCCTTTGATCCCCCGCCGCCACCAACAGTGATTCCGACGCAGCTGTACACAGGGCTACATCCACATTAGCAAGATTAGCCCGTTCATGCCTGCTCTCCAGAGCACCCACTCGGTCATGAATACCCTCCGTAACCATACGCAGGTCGTTACTAACATTTGACTGTAGTCGCACGGTCTCTTTCAAAGTGGCGACTTGAGCGCTCAGTTGCTCCATTCTAGATAGTAGACATGAGACATCCAGGCTATTGAACGTAACAGGCGGCAGGTCATCCAGATAGTGCGAAACAAATCTGGGGACATTCTCACCGCACTCGTTTAAAACTTTCAAACAGCTTTTGATATTGTTTACGTCTTTCTGTGTCCCTTTATGTGAGACGTTCCTCTGCGTGGTAGGGCAGAGCTCAAAGAGAACCTTCTTAGAGGACTCGATCCATTCAGTGTCAAATGTATTCGTAGCCAAAATCACGATCTCATCCTGGCTCATTGTCTTCAATTTGACGCAGAGAAAATTCAATAATTCATCCTCTACAACCAGTTTTCCATCAACAGTCTGATATACTTCAGGTTTCAAGCGTGAACGTTTGAATACAGGAGCAAGAGCTGGAGTAGCAGAGGCCACGTCAGCCATGTCAGATAATAATAATAATAATTATAAATGAAAGGTCCATCCATCCATCCATTCCACCCAGTCCACAGAGCACCAGCCCCTCACTGATCCTCCTGCAGGTGGTGAGTCCACAGACAGTCCACGACAGCAGTCATCAGTGGGAGTCGTGAAGTAGGTCTTATGGTGGGCTCGAACCCATGACCTTCAGGCTCAAAGGCCGATGCTCTACCAACTGAGCTACTGTAAAAGGTAGATACAGATAAAAAGTAAACACAAATATTTAGTTCTCGCTCTGGTCTCCCTCTCTATGATCTCTCTCACTCTCTCATCTCTCCTTCTCTGGGCTCTCTCTCTGGTCTTTCTCTGGTCTCTCTCTCTGGTCTCTCTCTCTCTCTGGTCTCGCTCACTCTCTCTGGTCTCTCTCTCTCCCTGGTCTTTCTCTGGTCTCGCTCACTCTCTCTGGTCTCTCTCTCTCTCTGGTCTCTCTCTCTCTCCCTGGTCTCTCTCTCTCTCTCTCTCTCTCTCTCTCCCTGGTCTCTCTCTCTCTGGTCTCGCTCACTCTCTCTGGTCTCTCTCTCTCTAGTCTCTCTCTCTCCCTGGTCTTTCTCTGGTCTCGCTCACTCTCTCTGGTCTCTCTCTCTCCCTGGTCTCTCTCTCTCTCTGGTCTCTCTCTCTCTCTCTCTCTCTCTCCCTGGTCTCTCTCTCTCTCTGGTCTCTCTCTCTCTGGTCTCTCTCTCTCTGGTCTCTCTCTCTCTCTCTCCCTGGTCTCTCTCTCTCCCTGGTCTCTCTCTCTCTCTGGTCTCTCTCTCTCTCTCTCTCTCTCCCTGGTCTCTCTCTCTCTGGTCTCTCTCTCTCTCTCTCCCTGGTCTCTCTCTCTCTGGTCTCTCTCTCTCTCTCTCCCTGGTCTCTCTCTCTCTCTGGTCTCTCTCTCTCTGGTCTCTCTCTCTCCCTGGTCTCTCTCTCTCCCTGGTCTCTCTCTCTCCCTGGTCTCTCTCTCTCCCTGGTCTCTCTCTCTCTCTGGTCTCTCTCTCTCTCTCTCTCTGGTCTCTCTCTCTCCCTGGTCTCTCTCTCTCTCTCTCTCTCTCTCTCCCTGGTCTCTCTCTCTCCCTGGTCTCTCTCTCTCCCTGGTCTCTCTCTCTCTCTGGTCTCTCTCTCTCTCTCTCTCTGGTCTCTCTCTCTCCCTGGTCTCTCTCTCTCTCTCTCTCTCTCCCTGGTCTCTCTCTCTCCCTGGTCTCTCTCTCTCCCTGGTCTCTCTCTCTCCCTGGTCTCTCTCTCTCCCTGGTCTCTCTCTCTCCCTGGTCTCTCTCTCTCCCTGGTCTCTCTCTCTCTCTGGTCTCTCTCTCTCTCTGGTCTCTCTCTCTCTCTCTCTCTCTCTCTGGTCTCTCTCTCTCTCTCTCTCTCTGGTCTCTCTCTCTCTCTCTCCCTGGTCTCTCTCTCTCCCTGGTCTCTCTCTCTCCCTGGTCTCTCTCTCTCCCTGGTCTCTCTCTCTCCCTGGTCTCTCTCTCTCTCTCTCTCTCTCTCTGGTCTCTCGTTAGCTAGCTAGGGGTGGATAACATTATCTAAGCGGACGTTAGTCACTTTTATGCCAAAACAGTAGAATATCACAAATGAATCACAACAATCCACATAAATAACATAATTTAAATGTTATTTGTTTAGCGACAGTTTCCACAATCATTGGACGCCGCGGCACGTTAAACTGTTTGATCGTTCTGTCACCGTGGGAGACACGGACTGCGCAGCCGCAGACGGGACATGGAGGACAGACACTACAGGTTTGATAAACGCACAAATATACGTAAATAAACAAAAATAACACGTACTTGTAGCCGGATTACTCGTGGCAGCGCCAAAACTAAACGCCATGATGTCTGTGTACCTCGGCTCCACTCCGGGATGCCAGATACTCACAGAGATATCAGCGCCCAGACCAGCAACTTTCAGAAGAAAAACATTAAACGTATTTTTTTTTAATTCTGTCAGTCACATTGCCGAAGAAGCTGATTTTCTTATATGAACCAGTCAGAGCCAATTTTCTTTATATGGGCAGCTGTTCGGGGGCAGATGTGTTGCTAAGATGGTTGCTAAAGCTAAACAAGTCAGGCATAGGCTTGGTCAATCCTTATGGCTTTGTGGGGGTTGTTGTTTTAAATAATTGTTTTTTTAGCTACTCATACACACGCCATTAGACGTTTTTTCCCCCACAAACATTAAAAAGGCCAAAGTCGATCCATGTTATAAGGGAGCAGACCTGGCAACCCCGAGACTTCTTCTGTTTCAGACCAGTGTACTCGCAACTGTTTGCAAGTGCGCCCTCTACTGTCGAGATTAGAACTCTCAAACATGTCTTGCCAATATAATTCAAATTGCACATTTTTTATTTATGGATTATTCCCAACTAATGGATTTGTGAGGCATAGATTTAAATTGGATGTGAATAAATGTGGATTGACAGTGAGACAGTGACAGAAGATTTGGACCTTCATTTTTTTTTTATTTGAATCCGTCCAGTCTGGTTTGACTTTCAACAAAAAAAATCTACTGCCAATTCCAGCCATTAATGACATAGTGTTTGTTTTTTCTCTTAATGATAGTACAACTGACTTTATTAAACCTCTCTCATTTATTGATCCATTCCCTCTACAGATTGCAGCAAATACCTAAATGTTTGCCCTGGTTTTTGTTTTTACTTTTTATCTTGTCTTGCTCTATGTACAGTATATGTAAGAGCTTTTATTATCTCATATCTCTTAATTGTGCTGCGTGGGGCGTCAGTGTGAAAAGAGAAGCAGACACAGGATTTTAGGTCGGAAACCCTGAATTTTTGGTTGTTATGAAACCCGTGTCCATTAATGTGACTTAACACAGCTACGAGAGAGACTGACACTATATTGACACGTCACTTTATTCCAAGGTTTAACAAACACAAGGCAACCGCTTCCTTCCGCACACATAAAATGTACTCCTACACATTTTTTCCAACAAAATCAATCTTTGCAACAATGTGGAAAAACTGAAAACAAAGTGAAATGTATTGGCACTTTATTTGATCATTTGACGAGCGACTTTCTGATGCAAGGGTTAATAACAAAGCTAGAAAACGATAAACATCTATTTGTAACTAAAGCCTATATATTTACAAACACATAATAGTTTACAAAACCAGTAACTGAGAAGCATGTGATCACTTTTCCCACAAAATGAGGAATTGTCAGCAGTTTAGCATTGGATTTGGCTAGAATATTTACACATGAACGACCTCAGGTTTAAACACTCGAGCATGACCTTCAAACAGCGACAACACAAAAACAATAATAACAATAACAACAATAATAACAGTAGCCCTTGAACATAATACTGGTTTTAGTTTTGGATGCACAATACAGACATTTCTGCATCACTTCAAAATTCACAGTTCAGTGACTCACATTAGGCCAGTTACATAAGCCCTGTTTCCACCAGCCCTACTTGGCCCTACTCTACTCCTCTCTACTTTACTCTACTCTACGCTACTTTACTCTACTCTATTCTACTCTACACTACTTTTTGCTATTACTTATTCAGTACCTGCTTGGCCCCGAGTTCTATCCAGGACGAGCTGGTGCTAAAGTGTTCTAACGCACAGTGATTGGCCAGAGTTTTGCTGGAAGCCATGGTTACCAAGGAATGTCCATGGATACTAGTTTGTTGTGGGTAGGTGACTAGGATACAGAGTAGAGTAGAGTGAAGTAGAGTAGGACCAAATAGGGCTGGTGGAAATGGGGCTTTAGTGGTCCAACTTTAAAACTAAGAGGAACAAACCACAACACACTGAGTAGCATAGAGTATAGTAGAGTATAGTAGAAAAGGGTAGAGTAGAGTACAGTACAGTAGAGTAGGGTAGGGTACAGTACAGTAGAGTAGAGTAGAACAGAGTAGAGTAGAGAATAGAGTAGAATAGAGTAGAGTAGAATACAGTAGAATAGAGTAGAGTAGAGAATAGAGTAGAGTAGAGTAGGGTAGAGTAGAGTAGAGTAGAATAGAGTAAAATAGAATAGAATAGAGTAGAGTAGAATACAGTAGAATAGAGTAGAGTAGAGAATAGAGTAGAGTAGAGTAGGGTAGAGTAGAGTAGAGTAGAATAGAGTAAAATAGAATAGAATAGAGTAGAGTAGAATAGAGTAGAGTAGAATAGAGTAGAGTAGAGTAGAGTAGAGTAGAATAGAATAGAGTAGAGTGGGGAGGGGCTGGTGGAAACGGGGCTTTGGTGGTCCAATAGGAACACAACACTACAGTCATGTGACCAACAGTAACACTGCTTGTGTGTTGTGTGTGTGTGTTGATCCAGTTGTATGACTTCAGAAATGCAGCAGACTTCTTTCCCCTGATGCTGTGTGTGAACATTTATATGTGCTTTAAAACCGGGACGTCCCGTTTGGAGACGACAGATTAGGATTGTGCCTCCGCTTTAGAAGTCAAACCGATGAAGGTGCCATTTTGAGGATCTTCCTTCTCTTTCCCACTGACCGGACTGTACGAGGTTTCATCTTCAGACGTCTGCAGGAAAACATTAAAACATTCATAACATTAACGTATGAATTCTCAAGGGAAAAAATAATAATAATTTCAAAATAATTTGAATTTGAGTCTGAAATAAATGTATTATATTATTATTATTATGGGCGACAGTAGCTCAGTTGGTAGAGCATTGGCCTTAAGGCCAGAAGGTCGTGGGTTCAATTCCCACCTCTGCACCTTCTCCACCGACTCCCACTGATGACTGCTGTCGTTGTGTCCTTGGGCAAGACACTTAACCCCACTTTGCCCAAAAGCCCCCACTGAAAGATCAAGGCTATGCTCACACTCAGAGAGCAGCCGTCCTCCTGTGGACTCACCACCTGCAGAGGGTCAGTGAGGGGCTGGTGCTATGAGACTTGGGTGGCATCTCTGATTGCCACCCCCCTGACCCAGAAATGGATTAAAGGGTAGAAAATGGATGGATGGATGGATAAATATGTAAAGATTATGTGTATGTCGTTCTGGTACCTCTCTGACCTTTTACTCTGGCGTCCAAAATAAAGTATTGAATGAAATGAATGAATAAACGAACAAATAATATAATAATAATAATAATAATAATAATATAATTATATATATATATATATATATATGTATATATATATATATATATATATATATATATGTTAGTAAGTTTGTGTTTACCTTGTTACAAGAATTTTTCTCACGGTTTTCACGTTGTAGAAAGTGCCCTGACTGTTTTATAATTTTTTAGTTACATGTGATTTATACCAACATTATTTCTATCATTTCAAAGCCACAACTTTAATTTTTTCCAATATTCTTTTCAAAAGTGTATACAGGCCACACAAAGTCACTGTCTTTTCCATACATAATGTGAGGATTTGAGTCAACTAGAAGCACAGCTATAGATGTATTTAAGGCTACGTCTCTTTTCTGGTTTGATAACACCAAAATAAATCGGTAAAGACATAAGAAATCTGCTTAAGAATTATTGATAAAACAAATGCAGTTAAATTAATACTATGGTTTCTATATCCAGCCTGAGTCCTCGTTCTACAGCCTGACATTTTTTCCCACTGGGTTTTATTTTAGTCGTTCCTTGCAGGAGGGTCTAAGGACAGCAATGATCCTGAAATGTTTGGTCCTCCCTATGGACCAATGGCTCCTATGTGTTTGTTATTATTGCGTTTTCTGTGTATGGGTTTGATTCTCTGATCTGTTGTTGGCAAATCTACAACTTTGTAAAGTCCTCCGAGGAGACTGCTGCTGTGATTTAGGCCAATACAAAATACATTGAATTGAATTGATAGTTCAAACCTTTAACCAGTGGTACTTCAAACCTAGAATGTGCAGGATATTTTCTACCCCAACTTAGACCCAGAACGAAATACTTTTACTGTTTTAAAAAGTCTGTACTCGTGTGTGTGTGTGTGTGTGTGTTAGTTCAAATGTAGTTATGTGAGCATGCCATGGGTGAATATGACTTACAGCATACAGAGCCTTGGTGAACATAATATTAGCTCCTCTCTTCAGGCAGACAGGACAGGGTGATGGAGCATGCAAAAGGACATAGAGTGTTATATATGGTATCCTCCAGCAACAAGAAAATGAAGATGCAAATAACAGTAGTGATGGTTATTAGCAAAAATGTGACAATTCCATAGTATTGCGATATTTGGGCCTCGATTCAATATTACTGCGATTCTTAACAACTTGTAGAGCAAATCATCACAATACTTTGCTCTACTGTATTGATTTATTGTAATTCCGTGCTCAAAATATCGCAATACTTGAACCAAATCGTAGCATAATGGACAGCATGAGATGGAGCCGTCAAAGCTGGTCCTGGTCTCTTACCTTCTGTTTACGAGCGCGCACCAGCAGCAGGATGAAGACCCCGAGCATGATGGCCCCCAGAGCCACGATCATCAGGGGGAAGTTAGACACCAGAGAAACGATCAGGAGAAGTTTATGGACTCGAGCAGCGGACGCCTCGTCGATCACCACACTCTGCATCAAAGGAAGCCAGTCACACACAGTTATCTACAAAGCTCCTGTGGAATCAGCTCCCCGTCCACGTCAGAGAAGCTGACACAGTCTCTATACATTCAAGGCCAGGATTAAAACCGTTTTGGTTGATCGATTTCACAGTGAAAATTGTGTTTATTTGTACTTTTAATCTGGTTTAATTTATGTACTTGTCTTGTGCACACTGGTGACCTTTGCAAATGTATTCCAATGGGGTTTTACTGCAAATCGTAAATAAACTGAATCTGAATCTAAAACAGTCCACTTTAATTCAGCATATGGTTAGGCAGGTAAGACTCAGGGAAGACTTAGAAGTACAACTTTATGTCTAAAAACACAGATTGTCAGTCAAGCTGCAAATGAAGCCACTTTGCTGAGAAGAATGGTAACTTCTCTCCTTTTCCCACTTGATCATAGCTGTAGTCTGTTCATTGCTATTCACCCGTTGCCCCATTGTCTATTTCATGGCGTGATGATGGGTCCCCTGAATCCAGCCTCCTCCATCTACACCCGTGACCCGCCTATAGGAGCCTCCGTCCTGGATCTATAGCACGTGGGAACGGATCCCCACTGTTTTTTTGTTTGTTTTGTTTTTTTGAGTTGTTTCTTATCAATGCAGGACAGTGGTGATGATCCAGGACATTTACGGACATTTATTTAAAATGTCTTGATGGTCTTTGGTCATCGCCCCCTCATGCACCAATGGCTGTGTTTGAACTGTTTGATTCTCTGATCTGTGTTGGCGAATCGGCAACTCTCTTAAGTCCTTCCATACAACTGCTCTTGTGATTTAGGGCGACACAAATATAAAGTGGATTGAATTATGAATAACACGCACAAAAAATTGACACGCCACAGAGCTTACCTCGTTGATAAACATCACAGGAATGATTGTTTCATTGAGAGTTCTTGTTTTTCTGAATAAAAAAAAAAAAAGTATATTTGTGAGTGAATGAAACTTATAGCAAATGAGCTCATATCCCGGTTTCCAGCCCGTACACAAATCCACTAATCCTGTTCATGAGGATGTTGACCTGCGCCCTCTTGTTGGCTCGAACAATCACTCCAGTGGTCTGAAAGAAAAAGGATTTTAAATGAGCTGCGGTTCCTCTAACGGCCTCTAGAGGGCGGTGTATCACAGTGAGCGGCCGGTGTGAGCGCGAGCCCTGTGTCTTACCGGGTTCAGGTCCAGGTACGTTTGGTGGTGACTTCTCTCTGGAGACAACCCTTCAATGGCTTTCACATACTTATCGTCGGCTAAGTAGAAATGGGGGAAAGACGCAACCACCGGGGCACCTGGGAGAAAGACAGAAAGCGTAGGTTGAGTCACTGTGTTTTTTGTTATTTTTAACGTTTTATTTTTAATTTAAAGGAAAGAAAATCTATAAAATGTTGCAAAACAGGAGATTGACAGAGAAAATAAGAAAGATAATAATAATAAAGTACAAAATACAATAATAATAATAAAAAACATATTTCTTTCATTTCAAGTTCAATGTATAAAACAGTATTATCAGATTTCACTACATCATGGCATTTTCTAACATATCATTCATTAACAATTATAGATGTTTAATATTGTGCATTATTCAAACTGGAAAAGGAGAGGGAGGTCAGCTAATCAGTACAATTCCGGACACTAATAATAAAAACACACATAAAAACAAAAAATAAACAGTGATGTGAGAGAAATAACTTACCTTTTCTGACAGAGAGACTGAGAAAGCAGTTAAACGAGAAAGAGAGAGACACAGCTATTTTTATTATTGGCATTATTATTATTATTGATAATTTCTCACTATGTATTTTGTGTGATAAAGTCAAAGATTAACTGTGTGTGTAGTCTGAAGGGAGACAAACACAATAGGGTCAGACAAAGTCATCGTCGGCTCGTGACCCCTGGAGAAGTGGGGCAGAGGTAAGTACTTTCCTACTCCTGCTTTTGGCAACAGACGCAACACAAACAGAGGACTGGAGGATACACACACACACTGTAACAACACACACACACACTACACTACACTGCAGCAACACACACACACACACACTACACTACCACTGCAGCAACACACTCACACACACACTACACTACACTGCAGCAACATACTCACACACACACACACACTACACTACACTGCAGCAACACACTCACACACACTACACTACACTACCACTGCAGCAACACACACACACTACACTACACTGCAGCAACACACACACACACACACACACACACACACTACACTACACTACCACTGCAGCAACACACACACACACACACACTACACTACACTACCACTGCAGCAACACACACACCCACCCACTGCAGCAACACACGCACACACAGTACACTACACTACCACTGCAGCAACACACACACACTACACTACACTACACTGCAGCAACACACACACACACACTACACTACACTACCACTGCAGCAATACACACACACACACACACACTACACTACACTACCACTGCAGCAACACACACACCCCCCCACTGCAGCAACACACGCACACACAGTACACTACACTACCACTGCAGCAACAACCCCCCCCCCCCCCCCCCCCCCCACACACACACACACACACACACACCTAAACACACACACACAACAGATTTAAACTGATAAAACAATCGCTGCTTCTGAGACAATAAACAACGACCAGGTCCCATTACGTCAAGGCTTTCTTGTCTCGTTCTAATCTTTGTTAATGAACCATGTGACGCGGCTCACACTCAGACCCCACCTGACCTTCAGACCTTCACGGCTCAGAGGCGGCAGAGAGGGTGAGTCTGGTCACATGTCTGGTCACATGTCTGGTCACATGACTGGTCACATGACATGAGGTTTGATGATCTGAACTGTTTTAATACTTACTCTCATTCAAACCAATGGGATTCTGAGACATTGCCCCCCAAAAAAATCACCAGATTAATAAAAGTAAGTCATTTATACGTTTAAATGTGTATTATGCTAAAACTGATCATCCATCCATTTTCTTCCCCTTAATCCATTTCTGGGTCAGGGGGGTGGCAGTCAGAGCTGCACCCAGTCCACTTAGCACCAGCCCCTCACTGATTCTCCTGCAGGTGGTGAGTCCACAGGAGCTGAGATCTTTCAGTGGGAGCTTCAGGCAAAGTAGGGTTAAGTGTCTTGCCCAAGGACACAATGACAGCAGTCATCAGTGGGAGTCGTGAAGTAGGTCTTATGGTGGGCTTGAACCCACGACCTTCAGGCCCAAAGGCCAATGCTCTACCAACTGAGCTACTGTCGCCACTAAAACTGATCATTATTACTTAAAATACAGCAATAACGGGCTAAATGATAGCTGCTGACAAAAAAAAAACACTGTGTTGCTATAGTAACTTGCCCTCACTTTTCTCTGGTGTCCAGTCCAGGACCAGTCTAGCACCAGTCTAGAACCAGTCCAGGACCAGTCCAGCACTAGTCCAGGCCCAGTCCAAAACCAGTCCAGGACCAGTCCAGCACCAGTCCAGGCCCAGTCCAGGACCAGTCTGGCACCAGTTCAGACACAGTCCAGAACCAGTCCAGGCCCAGTCCAGCACCAGTCCAGCACCAGTCCAGCACCAGTCCGGGTCCAGTCTACCACCTTGACAAAAGTATTTTATCCATAGACAAAAAAACGACTGCTCTGAGGGTTCTAGTGTGAAACATCTGTGCAGATATAGTATATCTAACACTATATCAGTTCAGAGGAGGCACCTTTGCGACAGGGGCTGACTCTGAGGAGGCCGGTTCCCAGACACTCCTCCGGGCTGATGCAGAAGCCCTCGTTGTCTGGATTCTCTTCTTTGCTCGCCAAGACGGAGCGAGGAGGCGTGAAGCGGTACGCGGGGATCCCTCTGACCTCCACGTCCTTCTCAAACTCCATGTAGATTGACCTGGTTCACAAAGACAAGGGTCAAAAGTGTCTGATTTATGTGCGAGCCAAACCCCTCTTCCTCAAAGTCAGAACGGTAGATTAGAAATGAAACGGCAACATGTTCCCTGCAGGAAGTCATCGGAAACGAATAAAACTACTATTGTTAACGCCATTAAAATACTCTTGCCTTTTTCTAGCAATAAATAAATAAAACTAAATCCAAACTGTGAAAATATGACGACACTTGTAGTAAATGTAGTAAATGTACAAATGTCTTTTCCTGAAAATCTGAAAAGATTATACACTACCGTTCAAAAGTTTGGGGTCACCCAAGTGTTTTCCATGAAAAGTCACACTTCACCATACGAATTGTGAAATGAATAGAAAATAGAGTCAAGACATTGACAAGGTTAGAAATAATGATAACATTATTGCACCAAAAACCAGACATTTGCAGCTAGAATAGTCATTTACCACATAAGCAATGTACAGAGTGTATTTCTTTACAGTTAAGACTAGTTTAAATTTATCTACAGTGTTTTTCCTTCAAAAATAAGGCATTTCAATGTGACCCCAAACTTTTGAACGGTAGTGTATGTTAACACTCTCAGTACTCACAGAGCAGTCATTTTGACGGCTGCCATTCAAATCAATGGACTTCTGAGAAAATCCCCCTCAAAAATTGTTTTTGTTTTTGACTACTTTTATTAAAATTAAGAAATGTATGGTATGGTATGTACTTTATTTGAGCAGGGACAGTGTACACTTAAAGTGATAGTCTGTAACTCTAAATGAATTACAAATTTTAGGAAATGCGCTAAATTGACCTCCTGGCCTTATATGTTGATATTAAATAAGTCATTTTATTAATTCTAATATTATGGGCCAGTCCCGCCTTCCCTTCTCTTAGGTATAGTTCAGAATCCACGGTGCCGTTGAGGTTAACCAATCGAGTCATGCCAAGGGCTGTCAATCATCAGCGCTGATGCTCGCAGCTGCGCGCATGCTCAGTTGTTTGTTTTCGCGGAGCCTCCGAATCAAGCCTCTATTAGGCTCTGGAACTTCATGAAAACTGAACAAATAATTCTGAAAACCTTTGTGCATGTGTATTAATAATGTATATGTATAATGTGTTCTCTGATTAACATTTCAAAGTGTTACGGAAACGTAGGTGTAGACCAATCAGAAAGGAAGGGGGAGGGAGCTTGCGTCATTTTTTCAAATCAAGTACAGTACCTCTCTGTCTCTCTTTCTGAAAAACTCCAGACAATCACTTTAAACATGAACACAAAGGAGAGATGTATTGTAGCAAAGATGCTAATTTCCGCCTGTATTCCTGGGGCAGGCTGATGATATATTCATTTAAACAGATACTCATGTAGATACACACATGACATTAACAGACATTAAATATATGTTTTGATTCTTTACTAAGTGCTAAAACTGGTGAATAAAACTTGAAAAATAGTGCGGCTAGTTGCTAACCACTGTAAGTAAGCAGCCGTTGCTATGGTAACTCACTCTTGCTGTAAGCTCTGAACCAGGACCAGTCCCTTCAGAAAGTGCCATAGAATGTTGGTTGCCAAGCGACTGAAAATGTTTGAATTTTACACTCTAATTAACGGAGCCGTCAAATTGACTGCTCTGAAATATAAATAAACTACAAATATAAACTGAAAAAGTCACATGGTTATGATGAAGAGCAAACATGTATAAGCAGAGTAATTACTGTACACGTCCAAAATGAAAAGCCGTCAAATTGACTGCTCTGGGAGTTCTTGTGTTAATGTTTACGATGAAGCCCTTGTTCTGCAGAGGGTAAATTTCAGTCTTGCATCACAAGTTGCAGATATATGAACGCTACGTGTTTGTCATCCAACCAAATCAAATGTTATTATTTTTGTTTCTGTTATTTTCCTGTATTTCTTTTTGATAACTTATAATATTATGATTTTTGACTGATTTAATTGATTTATGCTGACTGTTGTAAACCCTGCATTTGAAAAGTGCAAAAATCAGAAAGATTTAAAAGATTTTATAAAGGGCTTCACAGTTTGGGTAAAAAAAACATTCCCATTTACCCATGACCCATCGACAACAAAACAATATGTCTGCAGTGGGAGTTTTTTTCCGTTTGGGTCGTCCACACAATATGTGTCTGTAGTTTGGGAAATGACTGTGGGATTAGAACAAATGAGAGGATAGAGTGAGCTGAGGGGATGTGGCTCTGTGCTGCTCAGACCCCCATTGTGCTAACGTACGGTTCGGGCCTTTCCCTCGACCTTTAAGGGAGCAGCTAAGTCGAAAGAATCTCACCGAGGCCTCCCAGGCATTTAATTACTCCATGTAAGACAGCCAAACTACTACTACAGCCAATGACACGTGAATACAGAGTAAGAACAAGCAGGCTTTATTACTAATGATGGTATACGATGTTTTATTATCAGTTTTTACTCACGCTACACTGCAAAAAATGAGGAAATATGAGGTGATAAATGCTTGAAGATTAACCAATGGGACAAAGCCGTTTCAAGAACTGCTTTGTTTTCTCATTCCAAGGGAGACATTTCTTTTATCTTTTTAAACAAGGTAGTTTTGCTTTGTCCCGTTGGTAAATTGTTGTTTTAAAGGAACAGTATGTAAAAATCTGGCAAAAAGTGGTACTGCAGCCTCTCCCACTCTCCCTGACTCAGGTTGCCAGATATGCAGACGAATCCAGCTGGGACCATAACAGCTGAATAGACAAGAGTTTTGTCAACAACAAATTTATAACCAACACCTTTTTCACAAAGATAGAAATTCCTTGTTTTGTCGTTAATGATTTGAGAATCATAACGAGACCTTTTTTAGTTCTGCGCCACATGGTACTTTACCAGTGAGATTAGTTGGACGCGGTGAGTTCTGGCAACCCGGATAACTGACTTTCTGATTGGTAAAACGGTGGGGGGCGGGACATCGAAATGAAAACAATAACAAGATTTAGGGGCTGGAAAAGTAATGTTGAAATCCAAATATCTCTGAACTACTGTTATCAGTTAAAGAAGTATTGGAAAATATTGTATTAAAGCCTTTTGACAGATTAGGGCCGTTTAATGATGACTTGACATGAAAATCTTACATTTTGCTTTAAGGCAAAGTCCAAATGTGCTAAAAGTAAGATACATTTTGCCAAATTTGAGCCATTTTTGACTTATTTTCCATCACTTTTTGCAGTGTGTTGAGGCGCCTTGAAACAGAGGCTATAATACTTAGCTGATGTGATTGTACAACATGCAACATTTCCTGTTTTAAAGGAAACAGGGATCATTATCAACAATGACACGGACAGGAAGACATTGTAAGCGTGGCAATAAACAAGTAGGTGAAAGTTGGTTGTAAACATTAGAGGGGATGTTTTTGACATTGGACCAATCTGTGTCAAAAGGCAAAGTGGAGGCCTCTTGCTAAGTAGATCGACTTCTTCTTCTTCTTCTTCTTATAAAATGCAAAAGATATTCAAAAACATGTGACCTAAGATCTAATGTGCATAATGGCCAAAAAAATAAACTACTACTTCTGAATACTGTGTTGGCCCAATCAACCGTGCTTTCTGTCTGTGTCATTAACGTACATCAACCCGCCAAGAGAACCAGAAAAATCCTCTACTAATGTTTCTTAGTTTTTTTTTTACCACTGCCGTTTTTCTTTTGAGTCATCCTTTGCCGATGCAGGAGTGTCTGAGGACAGTGGTGATCCAGGACATTTATAGACATTGGTCATTCGCTCCGATCACAATCAATCAATCACATTTTACAACACTCAAGGTGACCAAAGTGGAGAGGTCCTTCCTCAAGTGGAGGAGTTCAAGTATCTCGGGGTCTAGTTCACGAGTGAGGGAAGAATGGAGCGTGAGATTGACAGGCGGATCGGTGCAGCGTGCGCAGTGATGCGGTCGCTGTATCGGACCGTTGTGGTAAAGAGGGAGCTAAGCCGAAAGGCAAAGCTCTCGATTTACCGGTCAATCTTCGTTCCCTCCCTCACCTATGGTCATGAGCTTTGGGTAATGACTGAAAGAACGAGATCGCGGATACAAGCGGTCGAAATGAGCTTCCTCCGCAGAGTGGCTGGGCGCTCCCTTAGAGATAGGGTGAGGAGCTCGGTCACACGGGAGGAGCTCGGAGTAGAGCCGCTGCTTCTCCACGTCGAAAGGAACCAGTTGAGGTGGCTCGGGCATCTGTTCAGGATGCCTCCTGGACGCCTTCCTGGGGAGGTGTTCCGGGCACGTCCCACCGGGAGGAGGCCCCGGGGAAGACCCAGGACACGCTGGAGGGACTATATCTCTCAGCTGGCCTGGGAACGCCTTGGGGTCCCCCCGGACGAGCTGGAGGAGGTGTGTGTGGAAAGGGAAGTCTGGGCCTCTCTGCTTAGACTGCTGCCCCCGCGACCCGGCAACGGATAAAGCGGAAGAAAATGGATGGATGGAAGGTGACCAAAGTGCTTTACAATAAAATCACATAAAATCCGTTAAAAAATTCATGCAATCAAACAATAACACTCATAAATAACGTCTTTATATACAGTATCACCCAACTTCTTGATATAAGCGTTAAAAAGCCAGTCTGAATGAATGAGTTTTGAGCCTCCATTTACGTAAAAAGGCCTAAGGACCAATGACTACTATGTGTTATAGCAATTCCTGATTCTCTGATCTGTTGTTGGCGAATAGACAGCCTTGTAAAGTCCTCCAACACGACTGCTGCTGTCATTTAGGAAGATACAAAAATCCATTGAATTGAATTAAAAGCTAAAATCTAGCACGGACAATATAGAAATTCTGCTGTTCTTGATGTGTGGCCCTAAGTGTGGTCTTAATGTATTTATTCTATTTCTAAATATTGTATTTCCTGTTGCAATCCTATAGAAATTAATCGATACTTTATTTGTCCAACTGTAGGGAAATTTCAGTGTTGCATGACTAGTTACAGAACTGTAGGAATGTAGAATGAAGTATAAAATCTCTATAGACATCTATCTCTCAGTCTCTGTGCCTCCTGTCTGGTTTGATTCTCTGATCTATTGTCGGTGAATCCACAGCTATGTAAAGTCCTCCAAGTCTAACTTTTCTGTTGTGATCTAGGGCTATACAAACATACATAGAACAGAACAGAATGGAACAACTCGTGATGCAACTATAGGTTTCTTTTTTATGCAAACAGGAAATGTGAATATCAAAACGGCAGATCCTGTGTCGTGTGTTTGAAGGCCTCGGTTCTGTTGTGGCTCGAACAGGACTCGGAGGTGACCCGCCGAGCCGTGTGTAACCCATCAGGATGTTATCATAGCACAGACTTCAAGGCAGAGTCCGAGGAGAGCGTCCGGACTCCAAGGCAAAGGTCTGCAGCTGTTTCTCCAAATAACTGAGAACCTTATAAGGCCAGGAACAGCCACTTACACGTTAGCGTTTATGTAAAAATTGTGTATTTTGTTGCTGTTTGTGAGTCCAAGACAAACTTCCTCCGGGACGTAATGAATTCCTCTTTAAATCTTGAATGTTTTGCTATCATTCAGACAGAAAACAATTAGATCTGAGAGTTATAAGGTCTGAGGACAGTGATGGACCTGGATATTTAAGGACATTTATTAACATTTATAAACATTTGTAGACCCTATTGACTTTGGGATTTGATCCATTTATTGTTGAGGAGGGGGGACAGATAAAAACATAGAAACACAAGATAAAAAATACTCCTTTGTGTTTGTTATTTTTGTATTATCTCTGTTTCAACGGTTTGATTCTCTGATCTGTTGTTGGCGAATACACAACTTTGTAAATTTGTGGATGGATCTCTCTCTCTAGTCTCTTTCTGATCTATTTTCTCTAATGTCTTACTCTGATCTCTCTCTGGTCTCTCTCTGTGTTGATTTAATCTCTGTGCAGCACTTTGGAAACTTGTTTTATCAAATGTGTTATGTTAAAGGGTTAAAGCAGTCAGGATATACTCATGTTAAGACAAATTTTGCACAAAATGTATTTATTTTCCCTCTCTTTTTGCAGTGTATTGTCATGACTGAGGAGGACCGTACCTGCAGAGATCTGGGGTGAAGATATGGATGCGTTCGTTTCTGTCGAGCAGCGGGTGAAAGGCGCTTCCATCGGATCCGACGATGCTGTTGCTGTGGTTTGTATTCCAAAACGTCAACTGGCTACAAGTGGAACAACAAGTGAAAAGTTAAAAGCACTTAGATCCATAGATACCAGATCGATATCGTATCCTGTGCAACCAATTACTCTGAAGTGATGAAAGAAAGCATTAAGGATCAAACACACGTTATCGGCATCAAAGTCGGGTTTTCTCACGAGTAAAAGTGCAATTGCAGTCTCGGCGGAACATAAAACAATAACGGAGGCCAAATGAGGTCCTAAAAGACACATACCAGACCCTGCCCTGGCCTTTAACTGCAGCAGGACTTAGGAATATAGGCAAGTTTATCTGTATAGCACAGTTCACAAAGTGCTAAATAGCCCTAGCGCTAAAACCAGGTACAGTGCATCTCTCCCTTTGAGGTTAAGGCATGTCCAGACTCACACCCGCAGACCAAATGCGGCCCTCTGTGTCAATATATACTGTATGGCCCTATGCCTTGTTAATCTATGGTAGTCTTTGAGATCATCTAGCCAACTTAATCTCAGCCAGTAAAGACATATTGTACCTTGTTGTTAAACTCAGGACCTTGAAAATACTGGCATTTCTTGTGTTGTCATTAAATCAATCTATGTTGCGTGTGTAGCTGGAGAGATGGTAAACATTTGTCATTCAGCCAACTTCAGCTCATTCTAAAGCTCAGAACAGCCCAAATACAGTCAAAACCACATGACAATCCGGGTTGTCGGCCCCTGGACTAGTCTGAGGAACTAAAGGCCGTCTAATTCAAATGTTTGGACACCCCTGTTGTTTACTGTCTCTGTAACCAAAAAAGGAATTGTCAGAGAAGAAGCCTGTCGCACATTTTCAGGAAGGCAAGAATAATAAGCTGTGTACCTTTCTCCTTTCCAGGTCACAACCCGACCATAGTCCAGGTAGTTCTTCTCCCCGGTGTGGAACACAAACTCTCCATCATTACTTCCATTTTTCTGAAACGCAAAACGCACAGTAGGTGACGTTATAATCCGTGCATTCACTGTGTTTAAACTGTTTGATTTTCAGATCTGTTCCTGGCGAATCAACAACTATGTCATGTCCTCTGAGACCACAGCTGTTGTGACTAAGGCTATCCAAAAATAAACTGTATTGAATTGTGTTAAAAAAGTAGTTTTAATGATTACTGTTAATATTGATTAATGTCACGGTTAGTGCTTGTGCTTCACGGCACAAGTCCACCTCCTTCTGTGTGGAGCGTCTGCATAGATTTCCTCCAGGTGCTCCGGTTTCCCTTACCACTAAAACCACTGCCCTACCACTAAAATATCTTTCTATCTAAGTCTATCTATCTATCTACTGTATGTCTATCTATCTATCTATCTATCTAAGTCTATCTATCTATCTACCCATCTATCTATCTATCTATCTATCTATGTAAGTCTATCTATCTATCTATCTATGTAAGTCTATCCATCTATCTATCTATCTATGTAAGTCTATCCATCTATCTATCTATCTATCTATCTAAGTCTATCTATCTATCTACCCATCTATCTATCTATCTATCTATCTATCTATGTAAGTCTATCTATCTATCTATCTATGTAAGTCTATCCATCTATCTATCTATCTATCTAAGTCTATCCATCTATCTATCTATCTATCTACTGTATGTCTATCTATCTATCTAAGTCTATCTATCTATCTATCTATCTATCTAAGTCTATCTATCTATCTATGTAAGTCTATCCATCTATCTATCTATCTATCTATCTATCTATCTAAGTCTATATATCTATCTATCTATCTAAGTCTATCTATCTATCTACCCATCTATCTATCTATGTAAGTCTATCCATCTATCTATCTATCTATCTATCTATCTATCTATCTAAGTCTATATATCTATCTATCTATCTAAGTCTATCTATCTATCTACCCATCTATCTATCTATGTAAGTCTATCCATCTATCTATCTATCTATCTATCTATCTATCTATCTAAGTATATCTATCTATCTACCCATCTATCTATCTATCTATCTATCTAAGTCTATCTATCTATCTATCTATCTATCTATCTATCTATCTACTGTATGTCTATCTATCTATCTATCTATCTATCTACGTATCTATCTATCTATCTATCTATCTATCTATCTATCTATCTATCTATCTATCTATCTAAGTCTATCTATCTATCTATCTATCTAAGTCTATCCATCTATCTATCTATCAATCTATACATACGTTAACCATGAGTCCAAATATTTTATCCACGTCGGGGCTCATTCCAGCCAGACGAGCCAGCAGTGGGTCTTCATATCCCCAGAGAAGTTCATCCACGGTCCGAGTGGTGAAGAGGCCGCTGCCGATGGAGTTCATCCAGACGGACACCATCGAAGACTTCCAGAAATTCCCTTTCAATTTGTTCATGACGGCCTAAAAAACACACAGTGCCCACAGAGGTTTGAGCGACACCAGCGGTTACAAATGTGCATAACCTGCAAAAGTGCGTCACATTCTCAAACTGTCCGTGTCATCAAAATAATCCTGACACCTTTGTTTATGAACACTGCATATTTACAACAGTGATCTAACATTAAGACATTTACACCGACGTAGAATAAAGGCTTCTATCAAATGGTTAAGATGCAGTTTGATGTGAAAGTGCCAAAAAAAACAACTGATAGAGATGCACCAATGAGGTAGATTTAAGTTTCAAGCTTTCCATTTCACTCTGGTTTCACTCTGGTCTCTCTTTGATCTCTCTCTCTGGTATCTCTCTTGTCTCTCTCTGCTCTCTCTCTCTCTCTCTCTCTCTCTGGTCCCCCTCATTGGTCTCTCTCTGGTCTCTTTCTCCGGTCTCTCTCTGGTCTCTCTCTGGTCTCACTCTAATCTCTCTGGTCTCTCTCCCTGGTCTCTCTCTGGTCTCACTCTAATCTCTCTGGTCTCTCTCTGGTCTTTCTTTGATTTCTCTCTCTGGTCTCTCTCTAGTCTCTCTGGTCTCGCACTCTCTGGTCTCTTTCTCCGGTCTCTCTCTGGTCTCTCACTCTAATCTCCCTCTGGTCTCTCTCTGGTCTCTCTCTGGTCTCTCTCTGGTCTCTCTCTGATCTCCCTCTTCCCCACTCTCTGGTCTCTCACTCTAATCTCTCTCTCTGGTCCCTCTCTGGTCTCTCTCTCTGGTGGCTGAGGACCCACCCATGCTGGGTGGTATCTCTGGTATCTCATTCTGGCCTCTCTCTGGTCTCACTCTAATCTCTCTCTCTCTGGTTTCTCTCTCTGGTCTCTCTCTGGTCTCTCTCTGGTCTCTCTCTGGTCTCTCTCTGGTCTCACTCTTATCTCTCTCTGGTCTTTCTTTGATTTCTCTCTCTGGTCTCTCTATAGTCTCTCTCTGATCTCTCTCTGGTCTCTCTCTGGTCTCTCTCTGGTCTCTCTCTCTGGTCTCTCTCTGATATCTCACTCTGGTCTCTCTCTGGTCTCTCTCTGGTCTCTCTCACTGGTCCCTCTCTGGTCTCTCTCTGGGCTCTCTCTCTGGTCTCTTTCTGGTCTCTCTCTGGTCTCTCTCTGGTCTCTCTCTGGTCTCTCTCTGGTATCTTACTCCGGTCTCTCTCTGGTCTCTCTCACTGGTCTCTCTCTGGTCTCTCTCTGGTCTCTCTCTGGTCTATCTCTCTGGTCTCTCTCTGGTCTCTCTCTGGTCTCTCACTCTAATCTCTCTCTGATCTCTCTCTGATCTCTCTCTGGTCTCTCTCTGGTATCTCACTCTGGTCTCTCTCTGGTCTCTCTCACTGGTCCCTCTCTGCTCTCTCTCTGATCTCTCTCTGGTCTCTCTCTCTGGTCTCTCTCTCTTGGTCTCTCTGGTATCTCACTCTGGTCTCTCTCTGGTCTCTCTCACTGGTCTCTCTCTCTGGCCTCTCTCTGGTCTCTCTCTGGTCCCTCTCTGGTCTCTCTCTGGTCTCTCTCTCTCTGGTCTCTCTCTCTGGTCTCTCTCTGGTCTCTCACTCTAATCTCTCTCTGGTCTCTCTCTCTGGTCTCTCTCTGGTCCCTCTCTGGTCTCTCTCTGGTCTCTCTCTGGTCTCTCACTTTAATCTCTCTCTGGTCTCTCTCTCTGGTCTCTCTCTGGTCTCTCACTCTAATCTCTCTCTGGTCTCTCTCTGGTCCCTCTCTGGTCTCTCTCTGGTCTCTCTCTGATCTCTCTCTGATCTCCCTCTGGTCTCTCTCTGGTCTCTCTCTCTGGTCTCTCTCTGGTCTCTCTCTGGTCTCTCTCTGGTCTCTCTCTGGTCCCTCTCTGGTCTCTCTCTGGTCTCTCTCTGGTCTCTCACTTTAATCTCTCTCTGATCTCTCTCTGGTCTTTCTCTGGTCTCTCTCTGGTCTCTCTCTCTGGTCTCTCTCTGATATCTCACTCTGGTCTCTCTCTGGTCTCTCTCACTGGTCCCTCTCTGGTCTCTCTCTGGGCTCTCTCTCTGGTCTCTTTCTGGTCTCTCTCTGGTCTCTCTCTGGTCTCTCTCTGGTATCTTACTCCGGTCTCTCTCTGGTCTCTCTCACTGGTCTCTCTCTGGTCTCTCTCTGGTCTCTCTCTGGTCTATCTCTCTGGTCTCTCTCTGGTCTATCTCTCTGGTCTCTCTCTGGTCTCTCTCTAAACTCTCTCTGGTCTCTCACTCTAATCTCTCTCTGATCTCTCTCTGATATCTCTCTGGTCTCTCTCTGGTATCTCACTCTGGTCTCTCTCTGGTCTCTCTCTGGTCTCTCTCTGGTCTCTCTCACTGGTCCCTCTCTGCTCTCTCTCTGATCTCTCTCTGGTCTCTCTCTCTGGTCTCTCTCTGGTATCTCACTCTGGTCTCTCTCTGGTCTCTCTCTGGTCTCTCTCTCTGGCCTCTCTCTGGTCTCTCTCTGGTCCCTCTCTGGTCTCTCTCTGGTCTCTCTCTCTCTGGTCTCTCTCTCTGGTCTCTCTCTGGTCTCTCACTCTAATCTCTCTCTGGTCTCTCTCTCTGGTCTCTCTCTGGTCTCTCTCTGGTCTCTCTCTGGTCCCTCTCTGGTCTCTCTCTGGTCTCTCTCTGGTCTCTCTCTGGTATCTCACTCTGGTCTCTCTCTGGTCTCTCACTCTAATCTCTCTCTGATCTCTCTCTGGTCTCTCTCTGGTCTCTCTCTGGTCTCTCTCTCTGGTCTCTCTCTGGTCTCTCTCTGGTCTCTCTCTGGTCCCTCTCTGGTATCTCTCTGGTCTCTCTCTGGTCTCTCACTTTAATCTCTCTCTGGTCTCTCTCTGGTCTCTCACTCTAATCTCTCTCTGGTCTCTCTCTGGTCTCTCTCTGGTCTCTCTCTCTGATCTCTCTCTGGTCTCTCTCTGGTATCTCACTCTGGTCTCTCTCTGGTCTCTCACTCTAATCTCTCTCTGGTCTCTCTCTGGTCTCCCACTCTAATCACTCTCTGGTCTCTCTCTCTGTGGTCTCTGTCTCTGGTCTCTCTCTGGTCTCTCTCTCTGGTCTATCTCTCTGGTCTCTCTCTGGTCTCTCTCTGGTCCCTCTCTGGTCCCTCTCTGGTCCCTCTCTCTGTCCCTCTCTGGTCTCTCCCTCTGGTCTCTTTCTGGTCCTCTCTCTCTCTCTCTCTCTGCTCTCTCTCTGCTCTCTCTCTGGTCCCTCTCTGGTCTCTCTCTGGTCTCTCTCTGGTCTCTCACTTTAATCTCTCTCTGGTCTCTCTCTCTGGTCTCTCTCTGGTCTCTCACTCTAATCTCTCTGGTCCCTCTCTGGTCTCTCTCTGGTCTCTCTCTGGTCTCTCTCTGGTTCCTCTCTGGTCTCTCTCTGGTCTCTCTCTGGTCTCTCTCTGGTCCCTCTCTGGTCTCTCTCTGGTCTCTCTCTGGTCTCTCACTTTAATCTCTCTCTGGTCTCTCTCTCTGGTCTCTCTCTGGTCTCTCACTCTAATCTCTCTCTGGTCTCTCTCTGGTCCCTCTCTGGTCTCTCTCTGGTCTCTCTCTGGTCTCTCTCTGGTCTCTCTCTCTGATCTCTCTCTGGTCTCTCTCTGGTATCTCACTCTGGTCTCTCTCTGGTCTCTCTCTGGTCTCTCACTCTAATCTCTCTCTGGTCTCTCTCTCTGGTCTCTCTCTGGTCTCTCTCTGGTCTCTCTCTGGTCCCTCTCTGGTCTCTCTCTGGTCTCTCTCTGGTCTCTCACTTTAATCTCTCTCTGGTCTCTCTCTCTGGTCTCTCTCTGGTCTCTCACTCTAATCTCTCTCTGGTCTCTCTCTGGTCCCTCTCTGGTCTCTCTCTGGTCTCTCTCTGGTCTCTCTCTGGTCTCTCTCTGGTCTCTCTCTCTGATCTCTCTCTGGTCTCTCTCTGGTATCTCACTCTGGTCTCTCTCTGGTCTCTCTCTGGTCTCTCACTCTAATCTCTCTCTGGTCTCTCTCTGGTCTCCCACTCTAATCACTCTCTGGTCTCTCTCTCTGTGGTCTCTGTCTCTGGTCTCTCTCTGGTCTCTCTCTCTGGTCTATCTCTCTGGTCTCTCTCTGGTCCCTCTCTGGTCCCTCTCTGGTCTCTCTCTGGTCTCTCTCTGGTCTCTCTCTCTCTGCTCTCTCTCTGGTCTCTCTCTGGTCTCTCTCTGGTCTCTCTCTGGTCTCGCTCTGGTCTCTCTCTGGTCTCTCTCTCTGATCTCTCTCTGGTCTCTCTCTGGTATCTCACTCTGGTCTCTCTCTGGTCTCCCACTCTAATCACTCTCTGGTCTCTCTCTCTGTGGTCTCTGTCTCTGGTCTCTCTCTGGTCTCTCTCTCTGGTCTATCTCTCTGGTCTCTCTCTGGTCCCTCTCTGGTCCCTCTCTGGTCTCTCTCTGGTCTCTCTCTGGTCTCTCTCTCTCTGCTCTCTCTCTGCTCTCTCTCTGGTCTCTCTCTGGTCTCTCACTCTAATCTCTCTCTGGTCTCTTTCTGCTCTCTCTCTGGTCTCTTTCTGGTCTCTCTCTAAACTCTCTCTGGTCTCTCACTCTAATCTCTCTTTCTGGTCTCTCTCTGGTCTCTCTCTGGTATCTCACTCTGGTCTCTCTCTGGTCTCTCTCACTGGTCTCTCTCTCTCTGGTCTCACTCTAATCTCTCTCTCTGGTATCTCTCTGGTCCCTCTCTGGTCTCTCTCTGGTCTCTCTCTGGTCTCTCTCTCTGGTCTCTCTCTGGTCTCTCTCTGGTCTCTCTCTGGTCTCTCTCTGGTCCCTCTCTGGTCTCTCTCTGGTCCCTCTCTGGTCTCTCTCTGGTCTCTCTCTGGTCTCTCTCTGGTCTCTCTCTGGTCTCTCTCTGGTCCCTCTCTGGTCTCTCTCTGGTCCCTCTCTGGTCTCTCTCTGGTCCCTCTCTGGTCTCTCTCTGGTCTCTCTCTGGTCTCTCTCTGGTCTCTCTCTGGTCTCTCTCTGGTCCCTCTCTGGTCTCTCTCTGGTCCCTCTCTGGTCTCTCTCTGGTCCCTCTCTGGTCTCTCTCTGGTCCCTCTCTGGTCCCTCTCTGGTCTCTCTCTCTGGTGGCTGAGGACCCACCCATGCTGGGATGTTGGCTGTAGTGATGCTGTCTTCAGATGGATCTCCCACAGACTTGTTTCTCAGGAACTGGAAGCTCTTAGTGTTGTAGGCCGACACCTTCGTACCACCGTCCACCATGGTCACGTTGTCCTTGTACCTGTACTCTCTGCAGAAATAAAAACAGTTGCATTTTTAACAACAGAGACAACAACAAAACTAGCGTACTTTCAGAACTATGAAGAGATTCCTGTGTATAAGCCGCATCAAGTGTTCTATCAATTGGTCATCTATTTTGACCAAATATCGGAGCATATCAGCTCTCATCCCACTCTCTGGTCTCTCTCTGGTCTCTCTCTCCCCCTCTCTCAGGTCTTATTCCCTCTCTGATTTACCTTTTCCCCTATCTCTGGTCTCACTCTCTGGTCTTTCTCTGGTCTCCCTCCCTCTCTCTCTGGTCTCTTTCTGGTCTCTCTTTGGTTTCTCTCTGGTCTCCCTCTCTCTCTGGTCTCTCTCTGATCTCTATCTCTGATCTCCCTCTTCCCCACTCTCTGGTCTCTCTCTGATCTCCCTCTTCCCCACTCTCTAGTCTCTCTCTGTTCTCTCTCTGATCTCCCTCTTCCCCACTCTCTGGTCTCTCTCTGGTCTCTCTCTGATCTCCCTCTTCCCCACTCTCTGGTCTCTCTCTGGTCTCTCTCTGATCTCCCTCTTCCCCACTCTCTGGTCTCTCTCTGATCTCCCTCTTCCCCACTCTCTGGTCTCTCTCTGGTCTCCCTCTGGTTTCTCTCTGGTCTCTCTCTGGTCTCTCTCTGATTTCTCTCTGATCTCCCTCTTCCCCACTCTCTGGTCTCTCTCTGGTCTCCCTCTGGTTTTTCTCTGGTTTCTCTCTGGTCTCTCTCTGGTCTCTCTCTGATTTCTCTCTTATCTCCCTCTTCCCCACTCTCTGGTCTCCCTCTGGTCTCTCTCTGGTCTCTCTCTGGTCTCTCTCTGGTCTCTCTCTGGTCTCTCTCTGGTCTCTCTCTGGTCCCACCTGTAAGCGTAGGGTCCCACTTGTTTGACCCGAGGTTTGGCTCCTGCCAGGAACTCTTCCACATTTGTCACGTTGAAGAAAAAGAACTCCATGTAGACGGGAGGAGGAGGTCTTTTCCACGAGTCGAACACACGGCTTCCTTCCACCAACACTATCTCCTGCAGACACAACGCAGATGGCCGTGAACGACACAGGGATAAGGATTTAAATAAAAAAATGCACAAAACCCAAGTTTTTCCCCATATATGCTGCTCTGTTATAATATGAAATCCTTTGAAGGGTCTCCCTTTGACTAATCCCTGTACGACTGACAGCATACATGAAATCATTGAATGGAATTTGTATCAAAATAGAGCAGCTCTCTGGTCCCTCTCTCTCACTCTCTCTCTGGTCTCTCACTCTCTCTCTGGTCTGTCTCTCTCTCTCTGGTCTCTCACTGTCACTCTGGTCTGTCTCTCTCACTCTCTCTCTGGTCTCTCACGCTCTCTCACTCTCTCTCTGGTCTCTCACGCTCTCTCACTCTCTCTCTGGTCTCTCACTGTCACTCTGGTTTGTCTCTCTCACTCTCTTTCTGGTCGGTCTCTCTCTCTCTCTAGTCTCTCACACTCTCTCTGGTCTCTCTCTCTCACTCTCTCTCTGGACTCTCTGGTCTCTCTCTGCTCTCTCTCTCACTCTTTCTCTGGTCTCTCTGGTCTCTCTCTGCTCTCTCTCTCACTCTTTCTCTGGTCTCTCTCTCACTCTCTCTCTGGTCTCTCTCTAGTCTCTCTCTGGTCTTTCTCTAGTCTCTCTCTGGTCTCTCTCTAGTCTCTCTCTAGTCTCTCTTTAGTTTCTCTCTTTCTCTCTGGGGATTCCTAAATTACATTAAATGTTGGTTGTGCCCAAGTTTGTGCCCATAATTAAAATGAACAAAACAGACCACAACCGGCATTTCTCATCTTACTAAATGTAGTTAAAAAGAAATAGACTTCATCAAACTTCCAAGAAATATCCCTGGGAGCAGGTTTTTTAAAGATAGAGACGAGGGAGTTAAATGCTTTCTTCATCTTAAGGGTCATGGCAGAACATAATTGAGTAGAAATCTTATCTTATATAGTTAATTTGCACAAACAGAAAGAGCCAGATTTGTTTAGTGTGATACAAATATATTTTCACCCCTTTTGGAGCAAACACTTTCAAATTCACTGCCAAAAACAAGATTGTAGAGAGAGGAACACAACTTTTTGACTTTTAAAAAAATATCTGTGTTTTTCAGATGTTACTTTTTGTCAACATTGCTCAGTGCCCCCGATCTGAAGGACACTAGTTTTCCATTTCAGTTCAACGTTTCTCCCTATTTGTCAGATTTGTTGACCTTGTGGTTAAAACCGAGCACAAAGTTCAATGTCTCTTCTGTCAGTTTCATGATAAAGCAATAATGTGAACAGAAAGCTGCTAAAATAACTCAAACAAATACAGACTTTTGATTTAGACAAAAATGTGAAGAAGCTAGTACTGCTTAACCTCGTACCCAGACATAAAATATTTGTTGAAAAGAATTATCTGTGCTATTTTTTTGTCATTGGAGTAGAAGAAAAAAACTAATTTTTTTTGGAAAGCTCCGTTCAATAACTAAATGTGGCAATGGTGCATATTTGCTTCTTTGGGTTTTTGGGTACATAGTTCATGAATTAAACCAAAAAAGTCACACTTCTTTTGCCAAAACCTTTGAACTTAATGCTGCGTATTTATTACCGAGGGTGCTACGGGTTAATTATCACATAGTATCAGTGGAATAGACTCAGAGGAGACCAGTGATGGTGTGATTCATCTGATCAGCTGTTGTTACTGGACTGACCACGCCCCCCGCCCCCCGCGGCCTCTGGAGAAGTGAGTCCCAAGTGTGAGCCAAGGTGAAGGCCCCCTCGTCTCTGTTGATGGTCCGTGCACCCCACTTCCTGATTTCAATCTGGTCTCTCTCTTGTTTCTTTTTGGTCTCTATCTAGTCTCTCTCTGGTCACTCTCTATTCTCTCTCTGGTCTTTCTCCAGTCCCTCTCTTGTCTCTCTCTAGTCTCATAGTCTCTCTTTGGTCTGTCTCTCTCTGGTCTCTCTCTGGTCTCTTTCTAGTTTATCTTTGGTCTCTCTCTGATCTCTCTCTGGTCTCTCTAGCCTCCCTCTCGTTCATCTCTGGTCTCCCTCTATAGTCTCTCTTTGTCTCGCTCTGGTCTCTCTCTAGTCTCCCTCTGGTCCGTCTCTCTCGTCTCTCTCTAGTCCATCTCTGGTCTCTATCTGGTATCCCTCTTTTATATTTATGTTCTTCTGCTCCTACTATTTTCCATCATTGTCTCAGAAGTCTACCATACACGGTAATTAAAGGAACTAGCTTTGTCACACTTTCGTCTTATCAAAAGAACCCTCTAAACCTTTAACATAAGAACATTTAACTTTTTAACTTTTTACATACAAACAAATACAGAGGTCTAACATAAGCTCATATTCATTTTACATTATAACGACTACATACCACATACAACCTGCTATGCTACATACTGTATTTAAAGAACACATTCGATATTCTCACATCTCACATAAGCTGCATAACAAAGGTACAAACTAATGGAAATATTTTTATTATTCTTAGGAACTCTATCTGTCAGCGGATGTCGCTCCTGGATCTCTCTGCTTCTCCCACAACACTTTTTCCCACCAGTTTTTTTTTTCTTTTTTTTGAGCTTCTCTTG